CCCAAAGCATGATTAGGCAGTGACAGGGTAGTACTTTCATTTCATGATTGCTTCAAATTTAAAGGGCGGCACATTTAGTTTTAGTACTAATTTTTTAAAGGAAAAAGAATTTCTCATAAAAATCACTAACTTCCCATCCTGACATGGAACTTACATCTGATTTAAATGTGTCTAGATTTTTACTCTTCCTACTAAACATTGATTATTTTTTATAATTTTCATTGCAGACGTTTGGAACAGAACTCCATCAGGGTCATCCCTCCTGGAGCTTTCTCACCATATAAAAAGCTCAGACGAATGTGAGTTAACCATGTTGTGCAAGATATGTAATTTTTTAAATTATGTAGGTCAAGGCTATGCAGGAAAACTAAGCATGAATATTGAAGAGATTGACAGCTTAATGACAGTCTGATTGCCAGTTGTGTAATAGCACTTTAATCTTTGCAGTGAAACCTTATAATTTTTAATGTTCTCTGTAATTTAGTTTATTGATTCTCACAAAAATGGTCATGACATCTTTGGTATGCTTTTGTCTAATTAAGGCATGCCATCCTTACTAATAACTTAAGCAAATGGATAGTAGTTGTTTACAGTGTGACTCACCTTTAAACTTTAGGTAGGATTGTCTGATGTTTCTTGTTAAAAGTTGTAGGTGTCTTTACAGACAGTGTTGACATGTAAATCCTCTTCTGTAGCCAATGTCCCTGGTATACTCTTTCACTGAACCTATCCTTGTTTCTGATTGTAGCGACCTGAGCAATAATCAGATCTCTGAGCTTGCCCCGGATGCCTTCCAAGGACTGCGCTCTCTGAATTCACTGTGAGTAGACACTGGTTTTTCTGGGGGATATCAAAATTTTTTTCATAGCCAAGAGTCTTTCAGATAAAGGAAAAAAAGAAAAAAAACACTTGTCTTTCTATAATGAGATATGAATCCTGCACTACAGTTGTTACTAGTGGATCCACATCCTTTCATGGAGGCCTGCTGTCACTAAAAGTAGCCAGTTTTGTTTTTTTTTTTGTTTCCTTTCATGGAGGCCTGCTGTCACTAAAAGTAGCCAGTTTTGTTTTTTTTGTTGTTGTTGTTTTTTTTTTAAACAGTAGCCAGTTTTTAGGATAGATATTTGTGGGTATTTTTTCACTTTATTATTTCATGAATGGGAGCTGTCCCTTTGGTGATTTTTTTACAGCTGTAATTAAGGGACAGTATTTTGAAATACTCTGAACAACTCTAGATTTGTGGTCACTTAATCTATAGTCACATCATTTGTCTGAGCACAGTGCTGGTTCTTAGAAGGATGCAGGCCAAGTGTTGCTGGGAATAAATGAGCATAGCCCTTTCAGCCCTGTCTTTATCACAGGAGGATTTTCCTCAAGAATAGCCTTATAATTAGCATTATATATGAAGGTCAAGAGGACTTTCAGGAAGATAGCCACACAAATTGGAGACAGTCTAAAATAAGTTACTAAAGGTTACCATCCTTTAAATTTACAAACACTTTTCATGGTGTATCAAGTAAAATAACCTTTTGTTATTTTATAATTTGACTGTAGAGTCTAGCTAACTTACTTATTAATGGTTTCGATTGATATAAATTATTGCCAGTCTCTCAGGTTTCAGGAGTCAGTCCCTGTTGCATCCTATCCTGCAGCATTTTTTAATGGGTAGAACAAAATTCGGTTTACACAACTTTCTGTTATACCTCAACCTTAATATCTTCATGGGAGCACTCTCAAGTATATATTTATGTTAATTTGATTAATACATCTACTGAAGGTGTGAAAAAATCTTAAACAATGTCATGTCAAACACCCCTACAGAATTTTCATTGAAGAACCAGAACAGAAACAATTGGAAATTGGTATTAATTATGAAAATATTATCAAGTCCTAGAGAAGACATGGCATGATTGTACAAAGATGTTAAGGACTATTCTTAATATGTACCAAATCATTTGGTATTATTAGCATTAACACTTATTATGAATTAGTATAACATTGTATATTATGCTGCTACATATTAATATAATAAGAAAGTATTGTTAGAAGGATATCTTTTAAAAATCATACACTAATTTTATGATTTTTATCCTTGGTGGAAAAGACTATTACATTTTATGTTTATGTGTGTGTGTGTGTGTGTGTGTGTGTGTAAAACAGAGGACATCTTGGAGAAGTTCACTCTTTCCTTTTGTCTGTGGGCCACAGGATTGAACTCATGTCCACAGTTTTGGCAGGCACATTCACTTGTTGAGCCATCTCACTGTCTATCTCATGGTTTTTTGCTTTTCTCACTGTGACAATAACAACATATCCGTAATGTTTGAAAGTTACTACTAGAACACTGCTGCTCTCTGAACTTTAATTGATTCTTCTTGTAATCTTGTGGGAGGGAATACACATGCATTCACAGCTGACTGCTTGAGTGAAAAAGAGAAAACACCTTTGGGTGTAGATTTTCACTTCCACTTTTTTTATGTCAAGATCTCCTTTTCTTTGCCAAGGGACACTTCAAACTTGCTGACCTGTGAGCTACTGCATATCCGTGTCTCTCATCTCTCATGTCATAGAAGCACTGGGTTACACAAGCTGCATGGCAGATGCTTTTACCCATAGAGCTATCTCTACACCTCTCTGCAGTTTCATTACTTTCTTTTATTTTTATCATTTTATTTTTTTGTTCTAACTCAGAAGCTACAAAATAAGTACAAAGCAGAGTAACACTGTACCAAACTTATACTTTAAGTCTTGTGATGTTTTGTGTTCAGTTAGCTCCACCCCTTCCTAGTGAGTGACTGAGCAAGTTACTGATTTACATGTGTGTCAGTTATCCTGTCTCTAAAATGGGTGTACAGTCTTCCCTTGCTCACTTTACAGAAGCAAAGAGCAAACTGCTAGTGGTAATAGGTTTGGCTGCGGCAGAGCCTTCACCTACTGCACATCAGTTTGGATGTTTCTGGGTTTTAAGTATTCCAGAAAAGGTCCATGTCCCAAATCCTTAGCATATGAACACCTTATTTTCATCATTTTAAATTAATTGAGAACTGTTAGAAGTCACTGACAGGGCTGGAGAATAGCTAAGTGTTTAACAACTTGTACCACTATTGTAGAAGATCCCAGTTTATCTCCCAGTACCCATGTCAAGTATACACACCAGGACTCACATGCACATACTGCCATACATTCATGCACATAATAAAATAAATAGGTTTCTTATTTTCATTTACTGTAGTTTCATGTCTTCATCAACTCATTCCCAAGTAGTTGTGTAGAGGGAACAGTACAATGCTCAACTGCTAATTTTGAGTTTCCTGAAGAATTTTCTTGGACTGCAGTTGACTCTACTGCTTAACATTGCATATTTCACTACCAGGCTTTCCATAACAATGAAAACCTATCCTTTCCATTTGTCCCTTGCTTTCTCTTTACTGGGATTTATTAAATTGTTCTCTATTATAATTCTCAAAGTACACATCATTGTTCTTAATTTATAGGATTAGCTCTTTGGACATGTCATTTAATGATATAATCGGTCTATAGTAAATCATTTGCAATAGACTGTACATTTTCCTGTATTGCATATTTGTTTCCTGCTGTAGGGACTTTATATTTGCCAGCTTTCAGCAAGTCAGAATTCAAGCTGGCAAACAGCAGCTGCTGCGGCCCATTGTCCCTCAATCCAAACTACAGCTTTAAAGTAGATTTGCATTCTTAGCTTTGTTGCTAGTGGCACAAAGAGGAACCTCCTTAATATGCCTGTATTGTTACAAAGACAAGAAATTTCTCCATTTAAATAATTTCTCTTCTATGGAGAACACTCTATGTAAGTTATGAAGACACTACTCAATGTGTTATTAGTCATAGTTGGATTTGAGGAAGCTTGGTGTCGGCTCTGGGCTGAAACCCACATACTCACATTTATGTTTCTACACACACACACACACACACACACACACACACACACACACACAGTACCCTGGCTTCAAATGGCTATACATTTGGTAAAGAAATCTCATTAATAGGGTATTTATTATTTGTTGGCTGGCATTATTTGCCGTTGAGAGACCATACCAAGAACACCTCTCCAGTATGTTTCCTGTGTCCCTGCATGATTTCCTCCTCGCATTACTATTCTCCTATTTTGTCTGATACTAATAATATTAACTTAGTAATTTTGTAACATAATCTTGTGACAACCCAAATGATATTTTGAAAAAACAAAATGGTTCCATGACACAAATATGGCATTGCTCCTAACCAAACTACCTTAGACACTTCTCCCAAGTTAACAGTTTGCTAAAAGATTCACCTCTGATTTTTTTTTAAAGTGGGACTTTAATGATTTATGAATGTCCTTGTTGATTTTTAAATATCAGTGGATTAACCTGAAATTTAGTTTTCAAAATTACACTTTGAATGTTCCTTGGACTTAAAACAAAATCATCTAGGCCATATCAATTTATGTTTGCAGATGACAGACATACACATCTTATGTCTTGAATTTGCTTGAAGTGGGTACCATGCTTAAGATTTAGCAAACTGGCTGGCACATACAAGGGTACAGTGGCTATTGTTGGTTGATTCAATTGAATTAAATATTGTAAGCTGCTGTCAGATTAATCTGTCCAGTTGTATGTCCTCCTCCTTTCTTTTATTCTTTTCATCAAAGCATGAATTTACCTATTATCATTTTCTTATCCTCGCTTCACCCTCTCTCACACAATATAAATTTTTTCCTTTTGTTCTTTGATTTAAAAAAAATCACCTCTTGTCTAATTGATTTGTTTGATTCTCTAAAGAAAATCTCTATCTATATTCTATGTAAGTGACTTTTTATGTGCACTTTAAAGCTGCAACACTGGAATCATAACAAATGGACTGTCTCCCTATGCTATGTATTTATTCCTTTGGGTGTTTTCTTCCTACTTTGTAATACATCCCACCTCTCTCTGACATCTTAAAAGGTGAACAGTACTTCCCTCACTCTAATAATTTCTTTCCCATTCATGTTCATCCTTCATACACTAGGATCATACAGTGGTGTCAAGCAAATTACTTATTACAAATCAATATTTCAGCTTTATCCTTCATGTACCATGACACACATCTATCCTTTTCCCAATGAGTGTTTCTGGTTTTAAAATTATGTTTATTGTAGACAATGTACACATGTTAAAAAATAGGTGCAACCAAATAACCTCTAGAAGACAAAGCACATTCTATTTTAATTGTGAATTTGTATATTTATATTTCTAAAAAAATTATATGATATCATTAATAAAATATACTGAATTAAAATAAGTAAAGTTGTATTATTAATACTTCTAAGCTACTAAATATCTTTTAAACTTTAATTTTTAGTCATATAAATTGTATATTCACAAACTATTATTTTGGTTCGTAGAGCAATTATTTGAGTTTAATTTTCTTGCTTGTGTTTCAAATTATGTATGGTTAAAGGTTTGTTCATAAAATATGTTATTTGTGGTTATTTTCTTAACCAGACAACCTAGTAGTATCTTGAGTTATATCCTTAACATGTACATAAATACATCCATTTTTACATATGCAGCCAAATGCCCTCTAAGAATATAATTTTTTAACTTATACACATTTTTCTTTTACTCTAATTTTAGATGCTATAATAGAAATTATTGGGAACCTATTTCTAACACATTGTCTTTCAATTATGTTCACTCAGGTCATTTACTTTTACACCAGTGATTCCCCCTACTTGAAAATATATTATTTTATTATTTTCAGCTAATTTATCACCATCTCACTTGTCAATCCAGTACCAGAACCTCACTATATACTAACACCTTGCTAGGTATTCGATGTTCTGATTTGATTAAGTCAAGGTTCTTTCCCTTAATACTTTCACTTGGTGTACAATCAGAAGCCAGTACCCTGATGGATTATTCCTCTTCACACTTGATGGAGGAGAAATACAGACTTGAAACATTTTCAAGTCATGTTCATAATCATTATTTTCTCAGATATTATGTTCCTCAAACATACAAGTATACCTTTTATTTGTAAGTCCCTGCCCTTATGTGGGTTCCTACTTATATATCAGTGTTTTAAGCATGAAATAATTCATTTAATGAACAATAGATTTTATACTGAGTAATGTTATTTGTTATGTATACTTTGTTCTGATTGCCTACAAATTATTTCATGTATGTGTGTGGGGGTGTTTTACATAGAAAACATTACAGTTTGACAAAGACTGTTTTCACAAAAGGTCAGATAAATTGTGAATTGTTTTGTTTTCAATGTATTCCAAATTATTTATAGCAAGCTTGTGTATTATCTATAGTCAGATAATTTTTATTTCATTCATTTTTTACTTGGACACTATATTAAGTGCCTATTAATCTCCCTAAGCATATATATATATATAATATTTAACGTATATTATAAGCATATATATATGTATATATGTATATGAACTAGTTAGGCTTGCTTGGTTCTAAATTTTTGTATAACTTTTTCAGTGTCCTCTACGGAAATAAAATCACAGAGCTCCCAAAAAGTTTATTTGAAGGACTATTTTCCTTGCAGCTGCTGTAAGTATTTCATTGCTATTGATCTATGGAACTTGCTATTAATGTTTTTTTTTTTAATACATCTTCTCTTAATTACCTCAAGTCTTCAACCCCAAAAGGCCCAGCTTAATGAGATAAAAATGATTAATGAAGCAGTGCTAAAATTGATAATAGCTATTTATGTGAAGACACAACTCTTTAGAACAGTCCAAGAATGATTATCTGGACAACAAAATTAATGATTTTTGGCTGCCCCTTTGTGGAGAGGTTGTGTAGTGATATGCGTCATATAAAACCTCTCAGTTTTGAAGTTACCAGTGGCTAGGATGGAACCAGAGAGAGTGTTGCATTTACAATCCACTCACCACAAAAGATCCAACAGTAAAAATCCCAAATAACTTCTTCAAATATAGGCATGGGGCATAGTGAGGCATATCATGGTACCAACTCCTGACTGATGTTTATTGAGTTATTTCTGACTGCCTCTATTACATTAAAGACCTCACTGGTTAGACTATAGCTGCCCCTCATTTATATTGAAAGAAAAGGTCACTCTATTTATAGGTACCAGATTTGATGCCATGTATCTTAACGCCAGATCATTTGCAAAGTATGTTCCTTAAACAGAGAGAGTAGGAAGGCAGTGTAACAGTTGAATTTAGTTTGTATCATCCATTACCTAGCAACCTCATTTGTGGCAGACCCTGTTCTGGAAGCTTTGAATATGGAGATGAGCATGATTTGATGCTTTTCCTCACCTTGCCTGCAACCAGCCTCACAGAATTCTGAACTTTAGAATTTTGTTTTTGCTTTCAATAGTACTCATTCCTTGACAATTATGTGATTAAATACTTACTAGTAATCCTACAATGTTCCCTAGAGTAGCTATCATTCCTTGAAAACTTATAGTCACAATTGTACCCAATTATCTTTGTGTTAAGTTCTTTTCACCATTCTGTACTATTATAGTTTTATCGCATCCAAATACAAATTGCAAAAGGCAGACATTTAAAAAAATTACTATATCCTTCACCTCTAGTTGACACTATGTAATTTATCTAATTTATGATATATGCATTAGTGAGTGATGGTGCATACTGCTTTGTGAGCTAATGATCATTTAAAGGTTCTGCCCCTTTGAAATGAATCCATCTATATTTTTATTTGATAAAAGCATTTTACTTATAATAGATGGCTTTGCACATTATGGATATAGCATGATGCTATAGTCAGATATTGCTTAGTTACCACATTGGTGGCATACTCGTTCTCCAAGAATTATCTCTATGTCTAGTATCCTCAATTGTTCTTACCATTGAAATACTATTGACCATTAACACTCAAAATTCAGGTATTAATGGTAGATGTAACACATATGTGAGTAAAGCACATAGATCTGCACACAAGCAAAACTTATTTATAAAGTGACTGTTTTTAGTAACCCCTCTCCCAACTCTCAAGGATGACCCACCCACACTTCTGCCCTCCAGGAGTTAAAAAATAGGTTATCTCAGTGCTTTTACAAATAGCCAAAATAATTATGAAGTGGAAAAGTCTTAGCTTTGCTTGAACAGATGGGTGGTAGGATGCAGAAGCAAGTTAATGAAAAAGAAAAAAAAATCTAAGGAAATAGCTGCTCATTTGTCTTTATTCTCCGCATCATGCTGTTTAAAATGAGCACCAACCTCTCACAGAAACAACTGCTTTAAACTTCTTCAGGCCTCCCGCCATTTCCTCCTGCAAATATTTATTCTCCAACTCTGTTATTCAGTCAGCATATGAATTACAGAACATTTCCAACATTGCTTGCATTTCTGCCAAGGATGGGAATGTATGCATTTCTTGAATTCATCAACCCCAAATCAAAATTAATTAATTAATTCCAGAGCCTTTATGTAATCTTTAGATGCACAATAGAGAAACCTAAAACTTCAGCTCCTGATAGGAAAACACAAAGTAGAAAAAACAGAATTATCAGGAGAAAAACACAGCCTCCCATATTTATAAAGAATGGAAAAAGTGAAATCCAGAATTTTGTTAGCTGTGAACATTTTTGTTTGCCATTGTCAAATGAGAAAAAAATTCATTGTGTTACATAATGAGAATTAGCCAAACCACATAGAACGTAATTTTGAGCTATTAAAAGTTTTAGGCTCCAAATAAAATAAAAGGGTAGAGACAGATAACATTAAACAAGTGCTGAAAACTATGGCTAAGCTGTATTTAGAGGAATGTGCCCTTCAGCTTGAACAGGTAATGATACCATGTAGCATTACCTACTGGGTTTCAGAAGAGTCAGAGAGGGCAGCCTATGATTACTTAGCAACTGTATTCTGGAAAACATGTATAGCACTAATGATAAGACACAGCTGCATAGAACCATCAGATTTAACCTACATTACCAATGGCTGCCAGTATATGATCTCTAAATCTCCCTTTCGAAATGCATTGATGTAATATCGGGGCCAACGAGATTGTAGGATATTGTGTTAGGTGGGTATTTATACTGCAGCTAGAGCCTTGAATGTGGTAGTGTAACTTACTTATCAAGAATTTTCAGGTAGTCATATGACATCAGATGTAGTTGAGCATGTAGTATGTACTAGAGGTGTGTGAAACAGGAGGGAACAAAATACAAAAAAAAATGACATTGTGGGTACAAATGATAGTCATTGGTAACAGCAGTAACAACAAAAAGGCATTATTTCACATGTATAATATATGTAGATATGTGTTATATATGATACAAATATATATATATATATATATATATATATATCAAAAGAATAGAAAAGATAGACTGAATATAGTGAATTGAAAGAACTAGGGAACTAGGAATAGGAAAAGGGCAGAAGCCCAGAAAACATGTTAGGCAGTGTATCCTTGAAGAGGAACATGTTTAAGTTTAGCAGAATCCAGAAAAACAATGGGACTAGGAAGCCACACATGTGATAAAAATTTCTGAATGGAGGACAAGAGAATCCGGTCTTAATGGGAAAGAGCATAGTATCAAATGCAGTAGCCACAGAGGGGGCAGGAGACTGAGTGGGACTGTTACACCCTAGAGTGAGCTATAAGACCTCTTTGGACATTAATTCTGAAGGATTTTCTGTGTTTAGACTTTACATGGACCAGAGCTATTGAGTGGTCCTGAGAGGTATGTCATGATTCCACGTTTCTTAGAAGGACCACTCTGGTTGCTGTTTTAGAAGGAGACTGACCTTCTCCGAAGTGGCTGGAGACACTAATAATTTTTTAAATTGCTTTTAGTCTGATCTTGACAACAGAAGCTGAGCCTCATCTACCTTTGTATATTGTTTTACCTCTAGGTCATCCTTCATAATCTTTTGATCATTTTTATCAAATGCATTTATGAGAACTACTCAATTGCTGTTCATTGCACCATTTGACTTTTGCTTTTTTATGTAAACCTCCAATCTCCCACACACAGTGCCTACATTATTATTAAATTTGCAATATTAATGTTAAGATTAAATACATTTCTCTTGATTGGGCTTCCTCCAGAAGAACTATATTACAGGTGAGTTAATGAGATGCTATACTTTAATTTTATAACTGTTTGATCAAACAGATTATTGAATGCCAACAAGATAAACTGCCTTCGGGTAGATGCTTTTCAGGACCTGCACAACTTGAACCTTCTCTCCTTATATGACAACAAGCTTCAGACTGTTGCCAAGGGCACCTTCTCAGCTCTCAGAGCCATCCAAACTATGTATGTATGCAGAATTTGGGTCAAGTATAATAATGATTATTTTCACTGTGAATGTGGGAGCTGAGCCGTAAGCACATAATGTATAAAACTCTTCTGCTGTGTTTCTGAAAGGCATTTGGCTCAGAACCCTTTCATTTGTGACTGCCATCTCAAGTGGCTAGCGGATTATCTCCACACCAACCCAATTGAGACCAGCGGTGCCCGTTGCACCAGCCCTCGCCGCCTGGCTAACAAAAGAATTGGACAGATCAAAAGCAAGAAATTCCGTTGTTCAGGTAATTTCTCACTTCATGAGACATTTCCCTTAGGACCAAAAGCTATGGTTACTTGAGAATTAGCAACAGCAGCTGTCTTCTGCTGATTACCAAGCATTGTACAATCTCATTTCTTTTTCTTCTATCTGGGGATGGGAGAAAGTGGGAGAAAGATAGACATAGCCCAAATAATATATTCAGGTAAATGAATATCAGTTAAACAAAAACAATGTCTGGATCCCTTATAGTATGTCCTTAGGTCCTATCAGATTACTCCTCCTGTTTGTTGTACTGGTCTCTATTGACCATCATCAAATAGTTGGACATGCTTTCCTTTATTCACAAACCAAAATAAGAGTTGATTACATGGGTTGTTTTCAAACTCAGAAGTAGAGGGTAGGAGTCTCCTGACACCTCATTTCTTTCTGGGATACATTGTGAAGCCACACTTCTTTTTCTTTTTTCTTTTTTTTTTTTTTTGATACTACCTTTTCTTATTTGGGAAATGTTGCATTTACCCAACAAAACTCATGTATAACTGTTAACTGGGAAGCTTACTCCATTGTTTGCATTGGTCTATTGTTATATGTGTTCTGATGATAGGAAACATTCACTATCACTTGGGGAGCATGCTAACCTAACTCTTTGGGGCACATTTCCCATTGTGCAGTTAATTCATGATAAACATCTACTATAAAAATTAGATTTGTTATTGTCCATCTTTATAAGTTTATCACTCACTGTGTATTGTTTTAGTTCTGTGAATATGCTTTGTCACTCAGTTATCTGTAGTAACTTTAGCCCATTCTTAATCTGATATAACTCATATCTTTGCTTGCTGACATTCAGGTACATCTTCTATTTTTTTCTCTCTTTTTTTTTATTTAGCTAAAGAACAGTATTTCATTCCAGGTAGGTTTTGCTCGGTGGTAGGACTAACTGCAGACACCCTTTCCTTGACTTATGTAGCTTCTAAACATGGATGTGCATGCTTTTGGAAGTCCAGTGAACACTCCATAGATAGAGTGACTTACGCATAGATCACTTGTAGCTGTATCCTGAAGGCCCCACCTCTGCATGCAGCTTCTGATGTTGAAACTCTTTATTAAAAAACGTACCTTCTTTCATCTCCCTTCCCCCTTTGCACATTATCTGCAGTTTCTCACAGTAGCCAAAATGTTTGAACCTATGGCTTACTACTTAAATCATGTTTTTTTTCTTTCTCTCTTTTTACATTGAATCTTTAATCTTCCAGCCTGTTTTTAAAATGTAGCTTACTAGGCTAGTTTTAAAGACAGCAGCCTCTCTATTGTCAAAGAGCTAGTTCTATATAAAATCAGGTATAAACATGCAGAACTGCATTTTTTGACAAGAAAAAAAAACCTTATTTTTTAAAAGCTTCTTGGTTTGAAAAGAATGCTTTTTGCTTACATTTGTTTTTCTTTTAATATAAAACAGCTGTTTCATGCTAATTTAGCGGCACTTGTTTTTCTATTATTAATTTATTTGTAATTGTATGTTCTTGCCTGTCTGGAGTCAGATTAGTACTCTACAAAAGGGATATTCACATCCATCTTCAAGTCATTAGTAGTTAATGGGCACAAAATGCCTTGAATAATCTAAGCAGAAGGAGAACATGTTTGTAAAGATGAAATTGCAATGTTTCATCCCTTTGCTTCCAACACCTTCAAACTGATGAGTCTAGAGCTAGCTCTTTATAATGTGTCCCTTACTTACTTACTTTGTCCTTGCCTGCCAATCATGTAAATGTCTCTTGACTTGTTTGCTTTAAAACACCATATATTGAAATGTATATAAAGTACTGATTGGTCTTGATTTTAAGGATGTATTTATTAATACTCTTATTTAATTGTAAATAATTAATATATTTAAATGTATTGCTTAAATCGAATTTCAATGTGCAACTAATAGTCTACATATTGTGTCTGTATGTATAACCAGTAATGTGTTGAAAAGAACAACTGATTGGTTTTTGTCATCAATGTATAAATCTTGTTATTTTTAGCTAATTAAGTGCAAAGTCAATTAAAAATTGAGACTTAACTGAAAACAGGAATACTCTGGAAACTAGACTGTGCATAAACTAGCACACCAATATGATTTGAATCCCAAGATTTGGCAGCTCATCTAATGATCACCAAATTAGCCAATTCAGTTTCTTAATAATTTAGATACAAAAATATCAGTACAATTCAATTGTAACACAAAACAAAAGATTATGTTGTTGTGATAGTTATGTTTTCTGCTTTTGCTGGAAGATAGGAACCCAGATTGGTTTTAGAACATAACTTCTATCTCAAATATTATGCCATAATTTTCAAGCATTGATAATTCAGTTTACATTTTAAAATTACTTGTAGAAGCCATGGCACATAGATTGCTTGTTCCTCATTTTGCTCTTTTTTCCACCTCGAATACTAATTAAGATTTAAGTCTCCCTAAAAAATGGTTTTAAAATAAGCATTGTTGATTGCCATGGCATTGAGTATACATTTTTGAAATGTACACAATGAACCCATTATTGATACTGTTACCAGAATACTGATAGCTTTCTGGTGGCTTAATCTCTAAAGACAAAAAAAAAAGACTCTTCAATAAAAAGGATAGCACTTATTGCTGTAATGGAATGTGAAACATATATTGTTATATTTTGCATTTCAAATTTTTTTGGAATTCTGATTATGTTCCCACCAGGTAATAAGCTTTAAAACTTAGAGGTCATTTAGAAGCATGTGACCTACCCACTAACTATTAATGTACATATTCTATCTATAGTCCTTGTAACTTTCAGTCATTGGCTTTTCATTCATTTTATATGTGTATTCATCACTTGCTCTTCTGTATGGCATTCTAAACATTCTGGTGGTGATAAAATAGAAAATCTGTCTCACAGACAGATCATCCATTAATGGAACCCATGAACATTTAATTTTTATTGCACATCTTTTATATCACTGCCTTTTCTGTAAGCCATTATATTTCAAAAGTACTATAAATTTTGCTAAGCATGACAGACACATGACCCAATGCTATCCCATGACTGTCATGGTAAAGAAACAAGAAAAAGGACATAATTTGTTGTGTCTATCAACTTTAACTGGGATGATTCTGTCTTTCTTTCCTCCTTGGTGATCTTTTCTTTTGCAGGAATTCACCATTTGTCCTGTAAGTAAACGTGTCTCATCTGAAATGTAACATACCCTCTTTTGAATCCCCGGTGTACCTTCTTCTAGTCTTGATGTTTTGCACCTATTTTCCATGAAGAAACCACAGTTCTCTTGAGTTTCTCTGTTGTCCTTGTAGCGTACCTTCAACTTCTTCCTGGACGTTCTTCCCGAAAGCTGTGGTTTCCACTCTGCAGTTCCGAGGAACTCGGCAGGAACCTTCCCATATAGTCCCTTCTTTGTGTTTCCAGGCACCCTTCGGTAGTTATGCTCATACATATTCTGCGGGAAGAATGCATGTCATGTAAACCTTATGATGCTTCCAGAACGACCGTAGCTTTTCTCCTCCCTTCGTCTTTCCTCTCGGTCTTCCCTCTGGCCTAGTGGTTGGTGTAGTGATAATGTAGCGAGATTTTCTGTTGTGCTTGATCTAACCATGTGGTTGCGAGGTATGAGTAAAACATGGTTCCGTCAAGCACCATGGAACGTCACGCAGCTTTCTACAGCATGGCAAGCTGCTGAGGCTCAAGGCAGGAATTACTTGTCTTTTTTATAGAGTCAAAATGAAAAATAAAGAGGGCTTTTGGGATGTTTCTGAAGATTATGTGAGAGGGAGAGAATAACAAAAGTCCATAGAAAAATTTAAAACTTAAGTATACCGATTTTCCTTAAAAGCCCTACATTACAATAATATACAGGACTATGTTTATTACTAGATATGTTTTCAATTTTTGACTCAGAAAAAATAAGCCAACTTTTTTTTTAACAATTCATAGCCATTGTGTGATTCTCTGTGAAATACACTAGCATGGCTCAGAACCGGATCAGCAGAAAGTACAGCTGTGAAAAGCTCAACTTTATTAATGTTTTCCTGTCATGTGAATCTGGTCACTCTTTTTTCCAGAAAATTCCAAGCCTTTCTTTTAATTCTTTCCTGACATCCATTGACCAATACTCCCTAAGTTGTCTCCCTGCTGCATAATCTATAGTTATCCTACTCCTTTCTTTCCTATGTATTAATGGCTGTTATAACACTCAGACTCAGAATCTTATTTTTGGCTTGAATCCTCAATAGGTACAGAAGATTATCGATCAAAATTAAGTGGAGACTGCTTTGCAGACTTGGCTTGCCCTGAAAAGTGTCGCTGTGAAGGGACCACAGTAGATTGCTCCAATCAAAAACTCAACAAAATCCCAGACCATATTCCCCAGTACACCGCCGAGCTGTAAGTTCATCTCACTGTGAAATCCTGACTGGGAGGGAGCAAGGGACAAAGAGAGACTGTATGAAAAGAATCTTGCTTCATTTTTTAGGCAGTGCTACAACTGAATATTAAATTGTCACTCAAGATTCAGTCATACTGTTTTGGGGATTGATTGGCATAAAACATATACAGCATGGCCTGGAGTGTTAGCTCACTGGTTTATAGTAATAGATGCTCTTACAGAGGACTCATGTTCAATGTCAAGCACGTAGCTGGAGCTCACAACTGTCTGTAACTCCAGTCCAAGGGGATCAAATGCTCTCTTATGTTTTCTGTCTCCACCAGGCATGCACATAGTACACAGAAATATGTACAGGCAAAACACTCTTATACATAAACTAATTAAAGTACTGTATTCAACAGTTGAAAAATAAAAGAAGATTCAGTCATACTGTTAATAATATCATGAATGTGATTATTATTGTATAATCATTATGGCAAAACATTTATAAGCACTTCAGAAATTTGCAAGACATTTGATTCTCACATTTGATATTCACCAAATCCATTGGGAAATTATTTCTTGCTTGTTTGACTACTTCTCTGGTGTGGGTGAAAGGTCTCAGAGATTGTAGTAAGGGACAAACAATAGTTGTTTGCTTCTTGATTTGTTTATAAACAGTGAATGGCAGATTTGAGAAAGCTAAAACATGAGATGTGATCAAATTTATATTTACAAATTTAGCATCAAATCCCAGAGTACAGACAAAATGTAATTTTGGAAGTATTTGTAGATTCTATTTCCATGTGTAGTTCACCTTTCTTGGTTATAGAAGGAAGATGTAGAGGGTTAATTCTCCAAGACCCATGAAGACAATAGTGAAATCTAATCATTTTCTGAACATCTTAGCTATGTTTATTTATGGCACCATCAGGTATTTGTCATTTACTACTTTGCAGAGTTGCCTGTCTCTGTGTGTATGCAAAATCCTTCTGTCTTCTCGTAAAGTACAGCCTCTTGATTTCAGGGATTGTGTATTATCATTTCTGCTGCACAGTGTCTATACTCATTGCTATTACTTAATGAATTTAAAACAATTGGAATAATTAGAAATAATGTCTTTCAAAGGATTGACAAAACTACTTTATGGTTCTGGTGATTTTAATACCCAGTATTTCATGATATATTAACTAGCTCAATTTTTATAAATTCAGGGAACATGTTGCAAGACCTCTGAATTTCACTCTGTGTGGCTATGTGTGGTCTTGCATTTACTTCTGATAATGCTGCACAACAGTGATATTATGTTGAACATGATAATGAGTTAAATAAGTTTATTCTCCACTCAAGAAGTCTACTCCAACCTAGTTTGTAATGTAAGATTCAGTAAAAATTTGTTTTAAAAGTTTAATAATTTTTCAAATAATGAATATTTAATAAATAATTAATAGAAAAATGTTTGCAAACTGTACATTCAACAGGGGATTTAGATTCAGAATCTTAAAAATAAACATATAAAAGGTTTGTTGCCTAACAAGATGATGATCAAGTTATCCATGTGAACATTTTTCCAATGAAGATATATGATTTGCCAATAACCATATAAAATTATTGATCATTAGAAAATGAAAAAGTGGGGCTGATGAGATAGCTCAGCACTTAATAGCACTTGCTGGTCTTTCAGAGGTTCTGAGTTCAATTCCCAGCAACCACATCCTGACTCACAACTATCCATGATCTGATACCCTATTCTGGCATGCACCTGTACATTAAGACATAGCACTCACATGTAAAAAATAAGTACATTTTTTAAAATGAAAAATGATTATTTCCTGCTGCTATGATAAAATAGCAGAAACAAAAGCATCTTTTAGAATAAAAAGTTTATATTGTGGGTGGTTACAGAAGGATGGTCTACAAAAGCAACAAAGCTGTCAAAACTGTCTAAACACATTTCATAAGCAAACAAGAAGCAGAGCTTGAAGAAAATGTGAAAGGCTTTAAACTCTAAAAGCTCATGACATACTTCCTCTCTCCATGACTCCTAAAATTATTTAACACTCCCAAGCAGTGCCACCACCTGGAAATCAAGTGTTCTAATACACGAATGAACCTATAGAGAATATTTCTCATTCAAATTGTCCAATTACCCATCCTGGTCCACATAGCCTCACTGCCATCTCATTCAAAATATGTTTAATCCACCTTCAAAATACATCTGGTCTTTAACAGTCCCAACACTGTTCAAAGGTGTTAAGTCTCTTGAGATTCACAGTAATAGTAGTCCCCAGTAAATCATAAAAAACACATCTCACATACAATGGCACATAATATATATATATATATATATCCATTCAAAAAAGAGGGATGGGGTATATTACTGAGGAAAGAGTGGACCAAATGAAGACTAAAACCCAACAGGGCAAATGTCAAAGCCTGTACCTCTTCGTCTAGAATCTGGGGCTTCAGTTTCAAATGATTTGGATGGTACCCCACATTGCAGATTTGCTGCCTATGTCAGACATTTCTCTCTTGGGCTGGTTCCACTTCCTGTGTACAGCTCTTCTTGGCAAATGTCTCATGGTTCTGGAATCTGCAACACTGGAAATCTTAAGTGCAACATAGACTTTATTTGGTGTCTGCTCAGGCCCTTCTTACAGAGACTCCAACTCTGTCATGATTGCCGGACCTCATTACTCACTTCTTTGATTCCACACAGGAAGACCTCACAATTCCCCAATTTTCAGTCTTTTATGTCTTCAAAACTGCTACCATGTTGATGATAATGCCAAATTCAGTTGATAGCTTGGTATGGACTTTCACACTCTTGTTATCAGCCGCTTTTATATGCTGTTGCTTTCTAGGAGCAGGGAATTCCTTAAGCTCTCTCATTTCATGTCTTGAAGCTTTAGCTGACTGGGGCCTTTCCCTGAGAACAAATTTCCTACAACAGTAGAGAGTGATGCTTTTCTTGTATGCCAATAAGCTCCTTAACAATTACAGCTTCCTTTGCAACCCATACTTTCTGGACAACCTTAAGACTTCTTGTGTTGTTGTCCTCTCCATGATGCACATTTTGTATTTCTTTGTGCACTACTTGCTCTTTGTGATGGTAGATATGCATAAAAGCATCAGTAATAGCCATTCCAGAGACTCAGTGTTAGCTTGCCTTGAAATCATGCTGTCAAAGAAATTAATCCATTAGTTTTTAATTTACATTAGGCGAGTTCTTAAGACAAGTACAGAATGAAACCAGAGTCTTTGCCAAAATATTATATAAATGAATGGTCTCTAGCACAGTTACTATTGGAATTTTTACTACCATCTTAACTAATGATCTAAATCTACAATATGTGCAATACACTTAGGATTTCAGTCTTCCAGAATCTTCCTAGAATGGTTAATTAAGTCCTTCCTATAACAGTCAGCTACTTTTCTAGTCCAGAGTTCCAAATTCATCCAAATCTCTTCAAAATGTCAACACTGCCATGTTCTTCATAACAACAACACAACTTCTCAGTAAAAACTTCCATCTCATTTTTTCTGTTTTTTTTTCTCTCCATGCTTCACATTTTGAATGTCTTTGTGCAGCACTTGCACAACATATAAATACCATGACCAAAAGCAACTTATACAAAGTTTATTTTGACTTAGGGTTCTTTAATGAGAGTTCTTGAAATGCAAATCATGGTACCAGGTAACAGAAGCAGGAAAGTGGTTGATGGGTCACATTTCATAGACACATAGAAAGTGAGGTAAAGCTATAAATATTTAAAGCCTTCCCCCAGTGATACACTTCCCCCAGCATGACTTGACCTCTGCAATCTCACATCAACTTGAAACCAAGTGTTCAAATGAAGGAGCCTGTGGAAGAAATTCCTCATTACCACCACTTGGAAAGTCTGGGGTAACAATAATATATGGAAAAAAATTATACATTCGTAATTTAAGTGTAAAATAGTGTAGCCTTGAAAAAACAGTTTGTTCTTCAAAGAAGTATGCAAAGGTCCAACAAATACTACTTCTATGTATAGAGTCAAAACTTGAAAGGCATGTCCACACAAACACCTACATACCATGTTCAGCAGAGAATTTTCATAGTAGACAAAATGCAGAGCAAAACAAGTGTCCACTAACCAAAAAGTGGCTAAATGAATGTAGGATGCCCAATCTGTTACTCAGTTATCAGAAGCAATGAAATACTGATAACACCACAACATGAATCAAAATTAAACATGTGAAAGAGGCTTGAGAGGTGACTCAGGTTTTAAGAGCACATATCATATGGCCCAAGTTCAGTTTCCAGCACCTGTGCCAGCTAATTCCCAATCACCTACAATTCAGCTTCAGGGGATCCAGTTCACTCTCCTGGCGCCTGGAAGCACCCACATGTATATATCCACCCAAAAGTAGATACACATGCCTGCTCATAGTTATATAATGGAAAATAAGATAAAATCTTCAGAACTTCCTACAAGATGACGTGAAAGGCATATTCTGTAGGATTCCATTCAAATGAAACTTCTAGATAGGGCCGGGTGTTTGTGGCTCACACCTTTAATCCCAGAACTCCGGAAGAAAAGGCAGGCAGATCTCTGTGAGTTCAAGGCTATCCTGGTCTACAGAACCAATTCAAGGGCAGGATACAAAGCTACACAGAGAAACCCTGTCACAAAATGAACAACAAGAAGAAGAAAACCAGGGTAATTCGGCACAAATGAGGGGTGGTGATAGGGAGCTGGCTATGACAACAGTAAGAGTATATTGTCAATGATTGGTATTGATTTGGAGTGACGAAAGTATAATGAATTAGCAAAAGTGGTTATGCTAGGTTTGATTTGTATTTATTTGAGACAGTTGTTTCTGTTTTTGTTTGAGTCTGGAGTTCACCAGGTAAATCATACTTGCTTTGGTCCTCCAGCTTTGCCTTTTGACTACTGAGATTACATGCATGAATCATTTTACCTGGCTGGCAATTTTATAAATATACTGAAATTCTATACTTTAGGTACTTTGTAGTATTTGGATTATGTAAAAATTGACCTGTGAATGATAAAGGTGCTTAAGGGAAAAATGCATAGTAGGTTGACAGTAGTAGGGAAAACAAGGCTTAGAAAGTTTGGTTTAGAGATTCCTGCATATAAGCTGGTTTTAATTATTCCTTGTCTTTCTTAATACTTAAATATATTTAAGAATTTCTTATTTTTTTAATTTTGATGAAATTGTAAAAACATAACTATGTTTTATGAATTCTCAGTTATATCTATGCTGTATTTCCAAGTTATCACTAAATAATACTTTAACAGTGTAATGAATACAAGCTAAACCCTTGCTACCTATGAGAAAACTTTCATCTCCTTTCTTGTTTTCATTCTCCAGGCGTCTCAATAATAATGAATTCACAGTGTTAGAAGCTACAGGAATATTTAAGAAACTTCCTCAGTTACGTAAAATGTAAGTCATTTGTTAGCTATAGAATGACTCTCTTCAGTCTGATTTTCTTATGCATTTTATGACTTTAAATTTTATCCAAGTTTCTTTTGAAATAGGAAAATACATATAAAAGTCCTGGGAAATTTCCATATGATGACTATATGGGGCATGAATTTAGGGTATTGTTTAAGAGGTACTTTTCCATGTGTTCACATGATGCCAAGCCAACCCTTAGCATCTTCCTCTAAAGCAGACAGCTGGCCAAAATGCGTCCGCAGCAGGAATCTAGCAATCTAAGCACATTAAAATGGATTTGTGATGTTTTGTAACTTCCTTTGCTATTCCCCAAACCATGGTGCCATTTCTCTTTCAGCACATTCACGTCAACTGTTTGACTTTTGCTTCATTAAGCTTTCATTATGAGATAGTCAAAATTAATGATTAGTAAACTGGCTAGACTACTCATCTGTGTTACTTCATGTCCACAGCTCATATTTCAGAGTAAATTTGTAAGTTCAGCATTTTCAACAACATTCCATCAGTATTTCATGTCCTTAGTAAAGAGAGAAGTAGGACAAAAGTCAAATGTCCAAGGATTCAGGACTACCCTGTTCACATGAAGAGGAAGCAGAAACATTATCCCGTGGCACTTGTCACCCTCAGTCTCACATGTATAGCTATCGCAACCACTGACACTGTTTTTAACTGAACAGAACAAACCTATGCCTCTGTCCTTCTCCTCTGTGTTAGGCGACCTTGAGAATATCTTCTAATTTCTTAATTATGTTCCTTTATGCCACTAAATATTACTGTCATTTTAGTAATAAGAGCAGATAAGGAAATCCAAATATAGTGGCCTCTTGTCCCAGTGCTGGGGATTAATGACAAGTGGGTCCCTGGTGCCTGGTAACCATTCAGACCATCGTATTGGGCCACATAAGAGCTCCATGTAACCAAATAATTGGCCAGAATAATTTTAGACTCCTGTGGATCGTTGCCATTCATCTCAACCAGAATTAGCCTAGCATTTCTCTTTAATGGCTATTCTCTCTTACTGTTACTGTCCTTCTGACTTCAAAGATTACAGAAACACCTTCAACAAGCTTCCATTATCCTAGCAATGAAAGTCTTGGAAATTGTGGAAGACATGTATGTTCATTCAGTAGATTAAAAATTACTAGATATATTTTTGGAGTGCCTGGTGGTAATAAGCAGTCATTTACAATCTGTGTCTCAACACTGTTTATCTAGCAACTTTAGCAACAATAAGATCACCGATATTGAGGAGGGAGCCTTTGAAGGCGCAACTGGTGTAAATGAAATTCTTCTCACCAGTAACCGTTTGGAAAATGTTCAGCATAAAATGTTCAAAGGATTGGAAAACGTCAAAACATTGTAAGTATTCCTGATTCATAGTTAAGTCGTTTAGACATCATTGATAACTTTGTTATCATCTGTATAGACAAGTGACTTCTGCCTTCCTCCTAGCCCAGTGATTCAAATCTTCAGACAAAAACATTTAAAGAGAGTAACTGTGTTCATCCAGAGGCTATGCTTATCTGTCCCTGTAATGCTTCAACAGAAAAGAAGCCATGGTGAAAAATCCTTCACTATCTATAAGAAACATGCTAAGGGTTTGTCTACTTGGTTAATGACAAGGAGATTGGAAGAAATAAATTCTTTGTGCTTCCTCAAAGGTTGTTTAGGTAGAAAAGATGAGATTTAGATCAAACAGTAAATGCAGCTTTCTGTCTTATTTGAATTATCTTGATACGTCTTTGCAATAATGTTTGCCAAAAGCAGAGACTCATAAATCAGAAGAGAGAAAAAACAAATTCTACAATCATTGTGGGAGCACATAAAAGAATCTCTTTGCAAACAAGAAGCAGTGCTTGGCAGTACAGTAAACACAGACTCAAATGGCATCTCACCTGACCCTGAAATCTATGTATAATAAGCAAGTGAGAAGTTCCCTGTTCTTTATGAGATGAGGGAGAAAGGCATTTCTCTAGTCAGTGTGATGTATAACCCAAAAGTTAGGTCTGACCATATATATGTGTGTGTATATATGTGTGTATGTATATATCCTACACGTGAGAATAGATATATGCTATAACTTTGCACAACTAGCCTGGAATTCAACAATCCAGCATGGCCAGCATGTCTGTCACAGACCTCTCTCAGGTACTAGTTCTGAATCATTCTAAAATGGTGGACAAACAGTTTCTGAGTGTATTTATGGGAGATAAACTGACTGTGTTTATCTAGCCAAGAAAATATGCCATAGGGCCTGCATCAGCACTTTCCTTGGCTGTCTCAGGTCTCTTAACAAATGGCAATGCCACCCTTCTTACAAAGAAATTAAGGACCTATTTGTTGTTAATGTTAACTTTCTTTCACACAGCAGTACTATGGAGATGGTAGGGGGCATAGGTTAGAGCTTCACCCATCTATGCTGCCACAGTGGAATGCTGCAGACTGAGTACTACACACAAAACTCTCATGCTTCTGGACATAGATGTTCACAATGAAGTTGAATTCATGCTGTAGCCCTTTTTCTAAGTCCCAGGCTTCCTTCTTGGCTAGTTTCTTGCTGTAAGCACACATGACCTTCAGTCTCTATTCTCTTGTGTAGAAAGGAAGAGTGAAAGAGATGTGTGAGATCTCCAGGTGTGTCTTCACTTTATGTAAAAGTTTATAAAACTATAAAGACCCTCTTCAAAGGCAGTCACATAGGTGATAAAAGCTTCAAGCAGAGAATTAGGGGAGTCAAAATTCAGTCAATATTATTACCCTGGACAAGGTATCAAAGTCTTTATTTTGACTAAATACAATCAAATGAAACTTCTCTGAAATCAGCTTTCTCCATTTTTCTTTCTACTGATGAGTTCCTGCTGTTAAACATGTAAAACCTCAATAAAGCACCTGCTGGCTGTCTCCAGACAGAGAATGGAGCAGTTCAGAGTCAAACCTGGGATGTTCAAATGCTACAGTAGATGTATCTGGATCTAGCTATCTATCTTTCCACATGGTCTCTGAGGTTGGGTTTTCTAAACATTTGAAAATATGCCCCACCCTAAACCTCTTAACTCTTCCGCACTAGTCAGATAGGTAATAATATATGTGCATATTCCAGCAAGTTATAAACATTATAAAGCTTGCCGCATTCATGTGCTAATGTTTGTTTGTTTGCTTGCTTGCTTTGTGTGTGTGTGTGTGTGTGTTTCTTCTATCAAGAGAGGAGATTTCTTCAGCTCCTTCCACGGTCCTGTAAGATTAAGACACTGATCGCCATTGTTCATGACAAAGGAAAGGGCTGATAAGGATACTGTGCTGTTGTGCATTTCTTTCTATTCAGTGATGCCAGGATAAGAAAACATCATCTGTCTTATCTATAGTTGAGCAGAAAGATGGCTTTTTATTTCTTTTTTATTACCAAACAGAATTTTAAAGCAACAACTTTTTCAACATCCATCTTAGTTAGGGTGTGTAGTGCTATAATAAAATGCATGACCAAAGCAACTCAGGAAGGAAAAGTTTTATTTAATCTTACATTTCCACATCATGGTGCATCATCAAAGGGAAATGTCAGCAGACACTCAAAGCTGGTATCTGGAGGCAGGAACTGATGCAGAATCCAAGGATGAGTTCCCGTTACTTGGCTTGCTCTTCATGAATTGTGCATTCTCCTTTCTTCTACCACCTAAGAGCTCCAACCCATGGGTACCACTGCCCACATCAGTAGGCTCTGCCACATCAATCACCAATCAAGAAAATGTACCACAGTCTTTTCCATACACCAACATCATAGGGGCATTTTCTCAATTGAGGTTCTGTCTTTAAAAATAACTGCATATTGTGTCAAGTTGCCAGCACATTATCTTTCTATTTTTGTATTTGCCATTCTATTGGGGGAGCAATTACTTTGGGTGTAGAAAGATCACTAAATTAATTTTTCATTAATTCTGAATAATATGCAATGCAGCTACAAATTTGTATAAAAGGTTTTCTTCTTTTTTGAAAACTTCAAAATGAAGAGCCCAGGAAGGAAGGAATTGGGAACTAAGCCAGTACTTTAGCTGTGGTGAGGAAGTAACAACAGTGTTAATCCTGCTAATGATGGTGTCAAAAAATAGAGTTTATTTAAGGCAAACCTATTTAACCTTTGTTGTATATTACGCTTAGTCGTTTTGGGAGTTCTGAACTTGAAACTATGAACAGGTTTTTTATAAATAAAACAATTTGATGCAAACTATGTGGATGCTCAGTCACACTTGACTCCCTCTGCTCCTGTCAGACAGTGAGTCACTAAGTCCCCAAGATGCCCTCAGCTCTCCATCTGCAGTATCTATTGATTCTCTCCTCCCCACTTCTATCTCAAATGTCACAATATTCTGAATACATAAATCACAGACTCCAAGGACTCAACTAGGTGACTTAGGACATTATGTGATCAGGCAGACATAATTATATCATCAAAAGAAAAACATGTTACCCTCATCATGGGACTGTAAATCGTTCAAGCTCACCATTCTTTCTGTGGCTTCATTTAGGCACTGATTATTCTATGCATTCTATTCTTGCAGGATGGTATCCAGAATATACCTATTACTAAAGAAATAGACTTTGAAAATAGTAATGAATGCTACATATTTGCTAAAGGGAATGATTTTAATTCTTAAAAAAGCAAAATTGAAAGTCTGGTATTTTATCCCTATGACAATATTCTTTGCCTTACCCCAGGATGCTACGAAGTAATCGAATAAGCTGTGTTGGAAATGACAGTTTCATAGGACTCGGCTCTGTGCGTCTGCTTTCTTTATATGACAATCAAATTACTACAATTGCACCAGGGGCATTTGATACTCTCCATTCCTTATCTACACTGTAAGTAGAAAAGCATTAACTTTTTTCTAGTGATTTTCAACCTTCGTCATGCCATGTCCCTTTAATACAGTTCGTCATGGTGTGGTGACCCCCCCAACCATAAAATTATTTTCATTGCTACTTTATAAGTGTAATTTTGCTACTGTTATGAATTGTAATGTAAATATCTGTGTTTCCTGATGGTCTTAGGTGACCCCTGTGAAAGAGTCATTAAACCCCCAAAGGGGTTGCAACCCACAGGTCAATAATCCCTGCCTTTATCTGATTGTGTATTATAATTCTTACCTTTTTTAGTATTCTTTTAATTAATTATTAAATCCATGAAAACAAGACCAAGTGTTTGAACATTTTAAAAAGTACAAACTTACATTGAACTTGCTTTAGTTTTTCTAAATTTATTAACACCTGTATTACATAAAATTCAATGTATGTATTATTTTTCCACTATTTATTTTTTAATGCTGGGATCAATAATGTGGCTTAACTTTAGAATTATAAATTATTCTGACTTGATAATATTGTAAGTAAATGTCACAGATTTCCTCTGGTATTCTAAATAATGAATATTTTCATTGTAAGTATCATAAAAACCACATTCCACAAGGATCATTCATAGTGACAAGAGATATATAAAGATGAACATACCTACAGTAAAAGCTGTTCAACAGAGGTCATTAACTATGACTTTGCAAAAATATGGAAGGAATGAGTTGAGCCTGTCTGAGATAATATTTTATGTAAACAACCTGAAACTTGAGAATACTTCTAGGTCTACAAAGGGAATTCTGAAAACATTTAAAAATAAACTTGCAACAATGTATTTCAGGCCTCTTGTATGTCCATCAGTTTCTGAACACAATGATTGCTATCATAGCTCTAGTAATTGATGATTTCCTAGTCACAAAAGTTTCTAAGTATCCTAACCTAACTCAACAGAACTAGAAGATAGTTAGAATTTTTTCCAAAAACATACTTGACTCTGCCCAAGTCACTGAAGAAAAAAAAGTGAAGCATCCATACATCAGTAAAGTACCTTAATACCTTTCCACATGAAGTGTGATGTTTTACATGGAGTGACTAATTTGTGCATATTAAAAATGGCATGTCTATAAATAATGGATTGTCAATAGGTTTATGCTTAAGTATGAGATGCCAAATGTATTGAGATTTGTAGAAGTAAATTCATTTTTATAACTGGCATTTAATCAACTCAGCTGTCAGTTTAGATAGGAAAGCTATTCTCTGGAGCAAACAGGAGATGGAAATCTTGAGATGACAAATTAAGGGAATAGCTGTTGTCAGGTTAAACTCAATAATATAAGGTAATCAGCCTTCATCTTTATATTAAATTACTGTTTTATCAGCACAGGAGAGTTTGACAGTAAGTTAGTTCCCTGACATGTTTAAATTATTTCTAAGTAAGGTATCTATCAGGATCCACTGCATAAACCCTAAATTGCTGCCTTCACTATTTTTTTGCATGAAGTTAATTCAAAGAATTCTCTTATGAGAATGCATTATCTTTTGGTTCTTGACATACACATTTAGAAAAAATATGCAGGACATGTTTTATATATGATTGCATGCATATAGTGGGATAGGGATACAAAGACTGAGTAAAAATATCACCTTCGAGAAATTGTCACTTGGGATTTAGAAAAATATGAATAACGAACTCTGAACTGAATTGTGCATTGTTTGCATGTGGTGCTTAGAAACCTCTTGGCCAATCCTTTCAACTGTAACTGTCACCTGGCATGGCTGGGAGAATGGCTCAGAAAGAAAAGAATTGTAACAGGAAATCCTCGATGCCAAAAGCCCTACTTCCTCAAGGAAATCCCAATCCAGGATGTAGCCATTCAGGACTTCACCTGTGATGATGGTAAGAAATGAGTGGCAAATCATGGGTCATTAGACCTTCACTCAGAAGATCAATGAGATGCTCCTTGCCTGGGGGAGTGTGCTTCCTTTATTACAGTACAACAAGTTAACAAGCAGGGCTTATGGTCTGGCAAGAGCATTTTCAAAAACATCTCTTATGTCATGGTCCATTTCCCACCTAAGTGCTATGTTCTGCTTTGCTCAGTTCTTTATTCTTAGCAGCAAGGCATTGACCTTTCACATTCAAGTCTACTTCCTGCCTGTTTATAAAATTTCTAGAAGACTTCCAAGCTCCCAACTTGTGAATGATATTGTAGAACTTAATTTTAACTTTATTTTTCTCAGCGTGTCTTTTAGAAGCTACCGTGTCCAAAAGAGAACAAAATAAACAAACAAAAATGTAACAGAAGTCCTTGTCAATTGACAAAAGTCACAGTCTCCACTTTCTAATGCTCTCTGCCATTGCTTTTTTTTTTTTTTTTTTTGGATTTTGGAGACAAGGTTTCTCTGTGTAGCTTTAGAGACTATCCTGGCACTCGCTTTGGAGACCAGGCTGGCCTTGAACCAGAAGAGGGCACCAGATCTCATTATAGATGGTTGTGAGCCACCATATGGTTGCTGGGAATTGAACTCTGGTCCTCTGGAAGAGCAATCAATGCTCTTAACCTCTGAGCCATCTCTCCAGCCCCCTCCTTTTTTTGGTTTTTTGAGACAAGGTTTCTCTGTGTAGCTTTGGAGCCTATCCTGGCATTGGAGCCCAGGCTGGCCTTGAACTCACAGAGATCCGCCTGCCTCCCGAGTGCTGGGATTAAAGGCTTGCGCCACCAACGCCTGGCTTCTGCCATTGCTTTTCATTCTCATTGTATTCTTATGAAATGGGTAGAGCAAGTTGTTATTATTGCCAGTGAGCAGGGAGCTAAATTGAATCCTACATTTTTAAGGTGAGATGTTCATGAAATTCTCCTATACATTTTAAAGACATCTGCCTCTTTATGTCCATCCCTTTACAATTTCTCCTCAACCCAGCTTATATTCTTATTTAAAACTGTATAAATGACTGAACAAATAAGTAACTCTTAAAATTATGTTAGTTTTACAAAATTGTGAACTATTTTCTGAAATTCTACCTTAAGGAACCAGAAATTAATGCATATATAGTATCAATCTGTAAGTACTTAGTGTTTTGCTCATAGATTGCTATGTAGCTCAAGAACTTTGTGCTTATTAAATTTATCTAAATGTATGAACTCCACTCTAGTCCCTTCAAAACTGTAAATTTGTGTTTTACTGTATTTCCTGTGGTGATCTAGGAAATGATGACAATAGTTGCTCTCCACTCTCCCGTTGTCCTTCGGAATGTACTTGCTTGGATACAGTAGTCCGATGTAGCAACAAGGGCTTGAAGTTCTTGCCTAAAGGTATTCCAAGAGATGTCACAGAATTGTAAGTACAGTTTGTTGTCCTTCTTTCCTCTCTGTTCCTGGGGTTAAATACTGTGACAAAATCAATGTTACAAGATAATGACTTATTTGTCTTGCAGTTGCAAGTCAAGCATTACAAGAAAATTAAGACAGGAACAAGAAACAGCTAGTTACACCAACAGTTAAGAGAAGAGAGAATGGATATATGCATGTTCATTTGTGTTCAGACCCTTCTCTATACTTCATAATATCTGGGATCAAAGTCTAGGGGATGATACCACCCACAGGGCACTAGGCATCCCTGCAATAATTAATGTAATTAAGATAAACCTAGTATAGAAAATCTCACATTAAAATTTTATTCCTAGGTGATTGTAAATTGTGTCAAGATGACTTTCAAAACTAACTGTTTCACTTGTTTTTCCCTTTCCTACACAGCTAATATTTTATACAACAAGGAGATAAAGATCTAACAAAAATCTTTAGAATCTGGTTTACAGGTCACATTCTCTGCCTGATTACTGAACAATATTTCAAAGGCCATTTCAGAGAAGTTGGGAATTACTGTCTGGATGTATTGTCCTTTTGCCACAATAAGATTGCTCAGTGTCTTTGTTATGTGTTTTGTGCCTGTTAAGCTTCAACAAGGATAGTCAGACATACATAAATCCTGCACTTAGAGCTTCTCTAGCTCCTTATTTTTTCATGGATCATTTTACAAAATTAGTGTCCCCTCAAATACAGTTTGGGAATTGTTGCATAGTTATTTTATTTGTAATATCAACTGTACTCTGTATGGTTAATTCCTGAAATAACCATAGTCATAACCATATGACCCCTAGGACAATATCTAATCATATAGGATAATAATTATCTGGGAATTAAAATTTACTGTCATAATCTTTGTCTTTTAAATGGGACATTGTCTCTTTGCACTTGTCAGTGTGCTTTGGATCAAAAAAGACATATTGCCAATTATTTTTGATGCTTGAATACTGATATCTAAATACAAAATACACAGCCAGCATCCATATAAATAGACCTGCAGAAGTCAGGCCTCCAGTTCAAAGTCCTGTGGCTGCATCCATGCCACATACTCAGAATGCAATGCAACAGAAAATCAGATGTGAGAATAAGGATGCAATTATACCACATTAATTCCATTCCATTATATCTAAACTGGTATTTGATGGGAAAATGTTTTACCTGAATCAAATTAAGTCACTTAATTTTTATCTAGATTTTGTTTATATGGAATTATACATCAAAAATATTTTAAATCCATGTGTGGTTTCTGCAGAAACTCCCTCCCCATGATCAGCTCTAATCAACATTTGGGCAGTGTGCAACATCGGTAGTTGAAGGTTGTGTTACTTACTGCCTTTTAGGCTTTTGACTAAGATCAAGTGAAAAACATGTCCCTTCAGTTTTCAAGGGTTTCATTTTTCAAGTCAGGTTCAGTTCATGGATCCTATTTTGGTCCTAAATAAAACAATCAGAGAAGCCACAGACTTAGTACATAGAAGAATGTGTTCCTTAGATTCAAAATGCTGTTAAATGTTCAGTTTCATTTTCTTGCTAATGAATACTAGAGTTAATTAACTGTAAGCGCCATTTTGTGTGCTTAATTAAACAACTGTTGTTTTAATATTTTTCAAAAGATGATGTGGGTCCATAACACTTCCCTACTCTCTATTGCTATAAGCCTATATTCTATATGCAATGTGAAATTTTATAAGTAGCCCAGTGAAGAATGTGACATTCACATTCTCTATGATGCTAAATACTTTTTCTCCATTTTAACTGGCCTTTTGAATTAATTTCCTTTTTAAAAATGAAGTACTCTTTAATGGTGATAATAATAAGTTCCATTTCTTGATTCACTCTATCTATGCCATATATGCATTTCTTCATTTAAGTTGAGTCTTCAGTCTGCATCACCCTAAAGCTCATTTTAAAATAGTTTTCTTTTCTACAAATAAATGTTTGTTCTATATAGATCAAGAGACTACTATCTCATCTCTTGAAATTCAAATTTTACCTCCAAGAGAGATCATTCTTAGACTCCTACCAAGTCAGCAAGATCCTTCTTTCCAGTCATAAATATTCATATATTAGAAAATGTGCATGTATGTACTGCACTAAATTATTAAGAATATGGCAAAAGTACAATGTATTGGTGGACAAGTTTGAACAAATGGTATCCATTAGTTTTAATCATTGACATGTATCCCCCTCCTTATAATGCTGTGTGGGGAGACATGCAGTATGTTCTTCTGGGTCTTTTTGTTCTGCTACAACATTTCTAGAATAAAAGGAGAGTGCTGAAGTTCGTGGAATGCTGCTTCCCTCTAGTGGTAGCAAAAATAAATAAATAAATAAAACAAAGCTTAGCCAGAAAAAATAGGAAAAGGAGGCAAAGAAATGTGTAAATATGTACTGGAAATTTGAGTACTTCATCAGAAGTCATAATGCGACTTGTAATGTCTCATTGGTCACATGTATTTATAGCCTGTACATCTTATAGATCTGCTTACATTTTGAAATTTTGTAGAGTTTTACCTCAAGCAACTTCTTGACTTTTCCTCTAAACATTATAATCCTACCTTCCACCTGAGATTCAAGATAAGCCACTGCACTGGAACAGAAAAAGCCACATCTGCAATGTGCCAGAATTGTTACCAGCTCCACCTCTGGCTAGATGATCCAAGGAGACTCTTGGACCAGAGTCTATTTTTTAGGGGAAAAATACATTGAGAAGAGAAAGATTGTTTTCTCTTTTGTGACATCATGGATATAACTCCCAGCATCCATTTATTTTGTGTCCTGTCAGTTAGCTGATTTCTTTGTAACTTACCTATGTTCTGACTCTAATAGAAGGACAAAGGTGTACTTTTATTTGAAAACTACTTTTGCATTCACATGATACTTTTTTGTACTTGAAAATGTTTCTGTTATTCCATGAAAGTTCTTGAGGTATCTATCACAAAGTAGATGTGAGACATTAAATCTACTTTAAAGTTATGTCTAGTTGCTCTCAAATATCTCCTTAAAACTGTCCATCGTTATTTAGCAAATGTGTCAATATGTGTACAGGCAACGAAGAGAGTAATCACACTCAATAGCTATGTTTGCCTAGGAATTCTTCAACTTTATGGTGCTGTTTCCACATAAGTAAACTAGAAGCCACATAAAAATAACATTCACTGGATGGATCTTCTTCCTGAGCAAAAAATAACTAGATGAGTGGCTTGCATTGCTGTCTAAGCCACAAAGAACTGGACTCATCGTTCTGCCCTTAGGTTTATGCATTGGGCTAAGTGAGCCACAAAGAGTTCTGCTAGATTGAACCACTGTGTGATTTGCCCTTTACTTGTCTTGAATAATGATCTCAGTTTGGAATATGATCTCTCAAAGAGGAAACTGCCAAGTTGAGCCTCATCTCTGTTCAAAGTAAATTTTGTTCATTTGCTTTGTGATCTCCCACTGTTACTTTGTAAGATGACCTTGTAATACCCTTGTTTTTAGGTATCTGGATGGGAACCAGTTTACATTGGTCCCCAAGGAACTCTCCAACTACAAACATTTAACACTTATGTGAGTAGAACATTTTCCCACCTTTACCTTATTTCATTTCATTAAAAGGGGGATGGCAAGAGGCAGAAGATTTACGAGCCTTTCACATAATATAAATCACTGACAGTGACCTGCCCCTCTCCTAGATCACTGTGGTTCAGGATCACTAGCTACATCTCTATGGAATATCAATCAGGGGATGCAGTGTCTTAGGAAAAGTATCTCTATTCAAAATAGCAAAGATACAATAACATCTAAGCAATAAAAAAAATCAAACAGTAAAACTGAATGCATTCTTGGTAAGAATATAGGATACTCGTTAGAAGTCATAAGGAGAGTGGGGAGTATTTTATTTTATATGGTAAACAAATTATGATCCAAACTTTGCTGAAAATATAAGTTATCTTTGACTTCCTTATATGAGACATGTTACAGTAATTGAGGTGCTATAAGTATTAAAGTTCATTTTTATACAAGCATGTGGATTTATATTCTAATGAAGCAAGACAATGATCCTAGCATTCTAAATACAAATTTCTAAATACTAATTCTGTATTGAGTTTAGATTTCTGTCTTCAGAAAATAATTTGTTTCTTTGTCTGTAAGTGAAATGATTTATACTGACAATTTGAATATAAGATATAACATCAAGGAGGCATTCAAATATGTAAATAAATTGATCTAGTTAAACACATCATATTTCAAAACAGACACAATGCTGTTACATATATATTCCCCACTTTAGAGTGCCTTGATGGTGCCTGATAAAGCTTCATAACACAGAGAGAAATTAACAGATTATAAAAGATTTTAACAAATATATATTATCATTAGTTTATTTAATTTATTTTCTAGTTTGGGAAACCAATTGTTAGTTTCTTAGAACAAGATTTATTCCTAATTTGGAGTTCCAGAAAGTTCAAGAAAAGAATTTATTACATGATGCCATATGTGCTTTATCCAGATGCATTGAGACAAGTGGAAATGCCATTGGTCTCCATTTTCCATAAAATATGGGAAATTCAAAGAGAAATTATTATATGGCCAGGTAAATGACAAATGGCACAACTAAGACCATACCTTGCTTTATTTTGAATCATTCAATTCATAGCAAGAACCAACCTTTTTAAATGATCTTTAGAACAACTGTGACTTTCAGAAGGTAATTTTAACAGCTTTGGGTTATTTATGAAAGATTACTTCATTTTTTAGAACAAATTAAAACTGAGATCTGTGGATCTGGAAATATTTATTAGTACTGACCCATTCTATAATTACCTTTTATAAATACATGAATTATTTCTTTAATTTGGCATAGAATTTCAACATCCAAAATATGGATTATGAAGCTCCAGTCAGGTTCCTATAATTTTCATAATTATGTGTATCTTTCTTGTACCTGGGAAAGTAAATGCAAGAATAGATGACCCTTATCTCTTACTTATATCCCATTGATTCATGTGTTGGATTTTGCTCCATGAGACATATTAGCTACATATGGATATTATATATATATATATATACATATATATATATATATTAAATACATGTTAACAAATGTGATCATACATATAATGAGAATATAATAATATCCATGTAATGTATCTTATAAATAAAAAACACATGCATTCTGAAAAATCCAGTTATCAACATTCAACATCTTTACATATTCACTGAATATTTAGTGAGGACCTTCTGAGTGTCAGCGACTTAGTCAAAGGCAAAAGCAAGGGTATTTTTATGATGATAGTTTGAATGTAAGTAACTTGAGGACTATTCCAATTAGCAAATTTGAATATGTTTATTAGTGCACATTTATGTCTATGGACGTACAGAATGGAGAGCTAATGGGACTATAAAGCCTGGTGGTTCATTCCTAACCCTAAAAATGAATGCCTTGTTATTCTAGTTAACTGTCTTCCCTTTTCTCTTTTAGAGACTTAAGTAACAACCGAATAAGCACCCTTTCCAACCAAAGCTTCAGCAACATGACCCAGCTTCTCACCTTGTGAGTGTAAAAGTGCAGTACTGAATATTCACTTATTCATGGGGCAAGAAGTATTTGCTAGATGGTTCCTGATGAACAAGAGAGTCTGATCTTATGGAGTGTAAATACCATCTAGAGAAACAGAAAAAACTTCCATAAACAACAAAAAGAAAAGTTACTCAAAATTATGGTTTAGTATAAAACACACATAAGAATATATTTTTAAATTCATGACAGTTATTTTAAATTCTTAAATTAAGCTTTCAAGGTGCCTTGGTCATTGTCCTATTGCTGTGAAGAGACACCCATGGCTATGTAAAGTCTTATAAAGGAAAGCATTTAATTAGATCTTGCTTAGAGTTTCAGAGGTTGAGTCCATAGCCCTCATGGCAGGAAGCATGGCTGCATGCAGTCAGATATGGTTCTGGAGAAGTAGCTGAGAGTTGCACATCTGGATCTTCAGGCAGCAGGAAGAGAGTAGATTTAGGCTTGGAATGGGCTTTTTGAAACCTCAAAGCTAGTGACACACTTCTTCCAACAAGGCCACATCCTAATCCTTTCAAACAGTGCCATTCCAAGCTCACAAAATACTCAAATCTATAGGCCTATGGAGCCATTTTCACTCAAATCACCACACAGGGCCTTGTATTTCAGCCATGGAGTAAGTGAGGCATGTGTACACAGTGGGGAAGTTTTTAAATTCATCTTAGGAAATGTATTACATTAGGATTAGAACACATATATGAGCAATGTGAATGATTTGTAAGTATATTCAATTTATACGTTGCTCAAATACCCAGTTCCTGAATTGTTTTGCTTCAAAATAGCATTTGTATATTATTAGATTCCAAAGTGAAATAAACTGGCATGTGTCCAATTTCAGAATTCTCAGTTACAACCGTCTCAGATGTATCCCTCCACGAACCTTTGATGGATTGAAGTCTCTTCGGTTATTGTAAGCATCCTATGTCCAACAATCACCTTTCTGAGGAAACTGAATTATGAGCTATCTTTTGAGTGATGTTATCACTTTGTTATTCTTGGTTATTTCTTCATGTATGTGCTACAGTTGAGTGTAAATTTAAAATCAGCATAGTTGTCTCATTTGGTGTCATTGTACAATCACTTTGATTTTGTAGGACTTGTTGTGTAGCACTTGTTATGTAGAACTTGTTGCTGTGTCATTTATTGATAATCGATAATACTAAAGCATACATCTCACGATTAATTATTGTAAAAATGAAAAAGAAAAACTTAATTTCTTTAGAAATCACATTATACTTGAATAATTTTTCAATGAAATGTACTTGTTTGATGTATCTTCCAGGCTTTCTTCTTTGTGTAGATCCTAATGTCTGTGTCCCCAAAGCTGTGTAACTCTTAACAACCATAAGTAGGATCCTTTTAGCTACTTTTATTTAACACTTTAGTATGTTTCTCTTCTACCATGTGTAGCTGTTTCTTAACTGTTTTCCAGGTACAGGATATTCCTTATATTATAAAAAAAATTACTTTAACTATCTATATCCTCACTATCATTCACCTTAATGGCAAATAATCATTATTTCTCATAACACTCAAGCAATGTAGATTTTTATTTTTCTGCAAATGTTCTAACAAGAAAGCAATGGTTTAGAATGGCAGTTCTGTCCATGATACTAGGATAGTTCCAGAACTAACTGTCAACTTATCTCCCAAACAATATTTTGTCAATTAATTAACAAATTTGATTTTCCACCAAGAGTTTAATAGAGTACTCTTTTCTGAGCACATTTGTAAACTTTCATATTAGAGTATTGTGAATGTTTTTACTTTTCTATGGCAGACTGAGAATTGTTTCTTTGCTGTTTCAGTTATCACTTCTACTGACTATTGCATTTGAGTACTTGTATGTTTATTGAACATTTGTGATGCATGTTCTAAGGTACCCTGATGGCTTTATTAACCATGACTTATTAATCTTCATTATGAACAAGGATGTCGGTTCTGTTACAATTGGTTTTATATCTCATAATTAATGAATTAAATGTTTTCTTATTCAAGGTTATGATATATACCCTCCAGTTTCTTGTACATAGCCCTTTAGCAGATTTTATTTTATAAAATATTTAGTACTCTTCTTTATGGTTTCCAAGATTCGTGTTGTACCTTTGAAAGTTTTCCCCATCCATGATTTACAAACAGTATATTTTCTTTTAAGGAATTGATAATTTTAATTTTACATTTAACTCCTTAATTTGGAATTTATTCTGTGCAGAGGTTTGTAAGGTATGGGCTGATTTTGGTTTTTCTTAATAGATAATTGTTGTTCAAATGTAGCTTATGGAAAAGATCACCTTCTTCCACTGACTTTAGTATTTAATAAAAATGAAATTCTTGTACATGTAAGAAGATTCTTCTGAACTTTCTTTCTCACTTTTAGATCTCTACATGGAAATGACATTTCTGTTGTACCAGAAGGTGCCTTCAATGACCTCTCAGCCTTATCACACTTGTGAGTACCTGGCTCATGGATGTAGTGCTGGGATTAGATGTGCTCTCCTGAACAAGTTAGCAACAGCTCTCTTTCCCCCACTTTGCTTTAACTGTAAGCCATGCTTGATTTCATCTTTAAAGAAAATGTACAAAGTTGCAAATTGGATATCTTGTCACCTACAAGGAAATTTTAGTTTATTCTTTGGGCTGGCAGTCTCCATCAGTTGGGTGGTCTCTGCTGAGCTAAATGTATCTATTCTATAAACACAGATCTGCAGCTTCACTGTCCTTTTTTTTCTCCTTGCTCTCTGATTCTTACCCAATTGTACCTCCCAAAGCTGTGTCCCACATGCCACTTCCTCTGTGAATCATACACTGATTTGCCCAAACTAGATACATTTATACCACAAATATTACTTAGCAGTGACCGTGGTGCTATGCACTATTGACATTGACACCACTAAATATTTTATTGTCTGATATTTCTTTGTGACATGATCCTTTGTATTTACTTTCTCTGAAATCCATTTCTATCTCCATGTATATACTTTCAATAAATGTTATACTTTAAATAAATATAGAGGTAGAAATGGATTATATAGATTAAATTCAGCCTCCAAAATGTTAGCACTGTTGAATTCTGTCCTTATCCTGTACTAGATGCATTATTAAGATATCTCAAACCTAGACAGGAAGGATGAGGTCTGTCCAAGTCTACAAAGCCTCCTCATGTGATGCTAAGTTTGAGGTCACCCAGTAGCAATTATCTGTTTCTTGTTGAATGTCAAAGCCACTATGATCTCAGTAAAATTCACAGATTCCAAAATGGTTAGATTTAGAAAATTCAGAGAGACAGTGAAAGAAGAATATCCTGTAGTTAATCATGTTCCACCTGAATTTGCTTTAAGGAAGCTCTGTTATCAGTATGCTTTTTATGTATCCATTTATCAGATTGATGCCTCCCATTCATATTCGTTCCATTAGACCTGAGGCTACAGAAGGCAAGATTTTTGCTGTTTCATCTTTGAGCCTCAGCTCCTACCTCATTAAATGTCCACATCAAGGCCTCTCTTTGCAAATTCCTCCAACATCCTGTTCATGAGATTCTGTATGAATAAGCAGTTAATTTCAGGGGTGTGGCTACTGCTACCTTAGAGAAAGCTACATAGAGGAGAACATGGATTTAGGGTCATGGATGAGAAAGCGCCACACAGCATGGGAAAGGCTATATTGCTTGACCTGAGCAAAAAGTTCATTATGTGACTCTACCCACTTCAAAATGTATTTGTCCTGTCCCTGTTCAGCCTTGCTCCTCAGTTATGTATTTTTATTTCACTCTGAAGGCTATTAATAGCTCCATTCTTTCAGCTATTCTCATCTCTCCTCTGATTCAGGAGGGCATTTGGAAATGTCAATAGACTCAAGAACAAATTAATCAAAGACACCATTATGCTCATGTTTTGATTTGAACTGGTACAGGCTAGCATATGTGCAAAAGAAACATTTACTGCATTGTGATGTGCTTGAGTCAATTTGGACATTTATTCATACAATATAAGGTGTTATGATTTTGCAAGTATATTTTAGAGTGTTTCTAAAAATTAATGAGACAGATTATGATTAAACTGTGAACTTCTGTTACTATTCAGAAGGTAACTGTGTTCTGAAAAAAATGCCTTATATGCCATAACTCCTGTGTCCAAGTATAGTGAATTTCTGAGCCCACTAATTAAATACAATAACTTGCTATTAATATTGGCCTCACACATTACTATTTTAAATAAAATCAGGTAATTAATATGAATGGGTTCTCCCGGCTCTTGCAGATGGCAAAGATGTAGAAATGCTAGCAGTTATCCTCATGACTCCTCCATTACTTTTATTATTTGTATAACTAAATGCAGGATTCTAAAATGAAAGACCAGAAAATGACAGACCAGTGAAGGGGTGCATCAGCTTTGGAGAATAGGCTTCATTTGTCTTTATGATGGCCCTTTATCTGACGCAACATCCTTAACCTTTTCCATCTAAATAATTGTCCCAAATCTTGTAGACTTTTAATACTCACTGTCACCTCCCAGATTAGTGAGCCTGCTCATTACAGACATCTAGTAAATGCTTCTGCTGTGTAATTACTCCTGAGTTTTACTTGTGTTTGTCCATATTTGTCTCCTTAGCAATGGGAGTTCTTTGGGGGTCAAGAATGATTCCCTGTTCATACTGGAATCCTAAGAATCTTGCATGGTAACTGAGTTCTCAATTAATAATTGGAGAATGCAAGAAGTGCTAGCTTGCCCTTAGAATGTACTTGCACCCAAGGTAAATGAGGCTCTCCAAATATAAAGAAACCTTATAAAGCCCAAGAAAGTGTTATTTTTTATCCCAGCTTCACCAAAACAAGGACAGTGGTAATCTGCATTTTCCCCATTTTCTTCTAAATTGATGTCATCAAAAATATCATAGGGATTTTCTACTGAGCATCACTGTGAACCTGTTCCGTTAGGAAATAACAATACTTCCATACTTGTGTGTGTGTGTATGTGTGCTTTTGTGGTGTTCTTTTTCCAGAGCGATTGGAGCCAACCCTCTTTACTGTGATTGTAACATGCAGTGGTTATCCGACTGGGTGAAGTCGGAATATAAGGAACCTGGAATTGCTCGCTGTGCTGGCCCTGGAGAAATGGCAGATAAATTGTTACTCACAACTCCCTCCAAAAAATTTGCATGTCAAGGTATGGCTTTTAATTATTTGCACTTCTTTTGAAATAATTCTCTACATTAATCACCAGAAGGCAGTCTCTTGAGAGTGGATTTCAAAGGTCTAGTTGGGAAGAGTTTATGTTCTCTGTCCATCTTCTTGAAGAAGGCCATTTCCTGTGATTACCAATTCATGAACTGGGCCTTTCAAATTCATCTTAGATCCATTGGTATGGATAGGTTTTCTTGAAAATGTAGGTAGAAATGCACAAATTGGAAATGACTTTCTTCATCTCTAACCAATAAAATGTTTCACTTTTGCTTTATCTGAATGTGCCCCTCCCCCTGCTTTTAGGGCTTCCAGGGCCCTGTGGCTTCCTAATCCCAGGTAAGCAGAACTGAACCAAGCTTCCCAGTGTTCCATCCAGGCATTCCCACTCACCCCCATGCTGAGATTTCCTGTGTGGGTGCTCCCTCTTGCTTGCTTCTAGTCCTGCCTCTTTCCTTGCTTGCCCCCTAGTTGGTGCACTTGGAGCTTCTCAATAGTATCTTCATAATAAATGTTATTTTCTGCTCTCTCTCTCTTGTTCTAAGAATAGGAAGTGCAAGCATTTATAAGTAGAAAGTTCTAAATTAGGACATGCAAACAATAGTAAATATTTTTGCAAGAAGAACTAATACTAACTTTTTGTCACAGTATATAGACATAATCACCATCAGACTCCTTTCTTGCATCATTCCATTCAAGGAAAACAAATATGTGCATTTAGTTGATTTTTTTTGTCATTCTTCTTGTGCATTCCTTAAAAAACCTACTCAGAATTACTATAGAAGAAAAATGCTAAAACTTCCATATGAAAAATAAGAAAATGTAAATCCTAGATATATTATGGAATAAAGGGCAATTTATGGTGTAATCAGTCCCTCCTACATTTGCACACACTGACAAAAAATAAGCTTCTAAACTTGACTATTTCTGCATGAAGAAAAACGTATTGCAGAAAGCAACACTGTGTAGTGCTCACCTATTGCACTGTGAATCCCAGTGTACCTGATTAAATCCACGGCTTAATTTTCCATACGTAGTAAAACCTAATTTCATGTCATAATCAATATGTGCCTCAGTTTCCTCATATGTAAATAGACATGCTAGTACTAACATGAAAGATTAAATGAGTTGACAAGGCTGAAGAGGTAGCTTAGTCAGTCAAGTGTTTGCCTTGTGAGAATAGACTTGTCCAATTTCTAGAACACACGTGACAACAAAACAGAACAACTAACAAACAAAAACCAAAACTGGCATAGTAGCACTTGATTATAATCCCTAGAATTAGATAGAGCCCTGAAGCTTAGTGGTCATCAGGCTTAGGATACTTGACAAATTCAAGCCTAGTGAGAGACCCTTTCAAAGAACACAGGTGGAGCACTGGGGAAATACCCAGTCACAAAATTCTATAGTATCTCCATAATAAATGCTTGCTGTGTAAACATGAGAACCATAGGGTAGATCCTTAGTATTTGAGTAAAAGCTAGACATGGTGGCATACATGTATAACCTCAACTCTGTCTGGGTGGAGATAGATCTGTGGGACTCACCAGCTACCTAGTCCAAATGAATTAGTGAACTTCAGTGAATGTATTGGATCGTTTTATGTCAACATGACACAAGCTGGGATCACCACAGAGGAAGGAGCCTCAGTTGAGGAAATGCTTCCATGAGATTGAGCTGCAGGCATTTTCTCAACTAGTGATCAACATGGTGGGTGGTACCATCCATGGGCTAGTGCTCCTAGGGTTTATAAGAAAGCCAGCTGAGAAAGCCAGGGGAAGCAAGCCAGTAAGCAGCATCCCTCCATGGTCTCTGCATCAGTTCCTTCCTCCAGGATCCTTCCCTGTTTCAGTTGCTGTCCTGACTGCCTTCAGTGATGAACAGTGATCTGGAAGTGTAAGCTAAATAAACCCTTTCCTCTCCTACTTGCTTTTTGTTCATGGTGTCTTCTCAAAGCAATAGAAACCCTAGATAACACAGTGAGAGAGCCTGTCTCAAAAAAATACACACAGAGTGATTAAGGACAACCAATATCAGTCAATGGCCTTGACAGGCACTTGCACACACATAAACTTAAATGCATCCAGACACCGTATGCACAGTCATACACACACACACACACACACACACACACACACACACACACAACACACACACACACACACAAACACACACACACAAACACACACACAAAAAAACACACACACACACACTACAAGGTGGGCAGTGCTTGAGAAACAACAACTATGGTTGTATTCTGACCTTTATACACTTGGATATCCATACAACACTTGTCTCTACTTCTCACTTATGTATGTACACATGCTTTCACGTACACACACACACACACACACACACACACACACACACACATTTTACAAAAATGAAATGACTGGGAATATACATGTAACACCACCTTATACAGAGAAAACACAAAGGAGACCACCATCAGACAACATCCTCAAGCTTGGGTAATATTTAAAAGAAAATCTAGAGTGGAGCAAAATTTTAACAGAAACAAAGGCAAGATTCCACTTAGTACAGTGCATTGCTATTTAATAGAAACAATAACAATGACTTTTCACTGGATTGGGATATTTTGCTCTATCTTGAGCACTTTATCTTCCCATGATTCTTATGTAAGAACTGCACTGCACACTTGAGATAGCAAAATACTGTAGTTAATGATTGATTCCGAGTGAAAGAGTTACAGTTTGAACCATGAATTTCTGACATCAGAACTCACTACTGTTTCTTTTAGAGGTTTCTGTAGAAAGATTTTTACATGAACCACTGATACTAATAAGCTTACAGCCTTACTAGAGTGGTATACAAAGAAAATCGAAGTTGAGAACCAACCTGCAGTGATGGTTTGTTTGGCAGAAGGCAATGCATTCTCATCCATTATTGGGACAATGCACTCAGGGAAGTCTCAGGAGTACTGTCTTGTGAGCATCCATGCTTTATGATCTTGAAAGCAGTAAAATGATGTGGCCTTAAATATTTTATAATTTGATATCTTCATATTTTAACTTAACTCTCCCATTATTTATGCCAGTGTAAAATGTTTTTATTTTATTCATGAAAGTCGGCTAAAAACAAACTCTTGTATTAAGACCATATGTAATCAAACTACAACAGGAAAACAAATCCTCTTTATTGAAAGTCACAATTGCATAGTCATGTGTAAATGTTATTTTTCTATAAGTAAATATTTTGTGTAATTGATTTTCATTAGAGTACATATTCTCCGTTTCCATTATGTTATCTATATGGCAGGTCACATTTTTATGATATAAAAATAAAGAATGGGATGAAGTAGGTGGTCATAACATTTTTAGTTAGCAACCAAGTAAGAGTTTTCTTGAGTGGGAAAAAGGAGTTAAGGATCATGAGCTGGTTTTGTTTATCCTCTTCTCATTAACACTGGCATGATCAAGTGGTCACCAGTCATAAAAAGAGGTTTTTTTTTTACCTTTTCTCTTTCTAATTTTTCACTGAGAAAGCCAGTGTGTTTTATTGTCATTGTTAACTTCAATCATTCACTGTAAAGCTTCTGTTTCAACAATATTTAACTATGCACACAGGTAAATGATCCACTTTCATTTGATAGACATTCATTAGCAGCTCAAACATACTAAATAGTGAGCATCTATTGGAAATATGTGATACCTTTTTATCCATTTGACAAATATTATTGGAGTTTCTATTAATTATAAAGCCAGGTTCCAACATGGTACAGTTCCAGTACCAGTAAAGGATAATTAAACTCCTGTTTTCATGAGGCTTATGTTTTACATAGCTGATTCTAAAATAATATAGAATCTAGGTGGCATAAATATGTGCAAGATGGAAATATCTAAATATATATTTATATATATATTTATATTTATTTATATTTATATATATTTAAATATATATTTATATATAATATATATATATAAACAAATCTAACTAGGTCAAACTATGATGGACTTTTAATGACACCAGAAAGTCATAAGGAGGTTTATGTGGTTGGTGGTGAACTGATAGTAGGACATAATTGAAAGGACAAGGTGATATAGACAGATGTTTCACAGCTAGAAGTTCAAACCAAACAGGGAGATTACAAAAGACAATTACTTCATCAGGACCTGGTGGTAAATACTTATAATCCCATTTACTCAGGATGCTGAAACAAGGATATCTCAACCCTGCCTGAGCTACAGAGCACTTAGACAACTACTGATTCCCTTTGTCAAGAAAAGAATGTAAAAACAGAACTGAGGATGTTATTGTTAATTCAATAGTCAGAATCCTTGGGATCCTAGTTTCAGTCCCCAGTAAATGTAAGTATAAGGAGGAAGGAGGGAGAGAGGGAAAGAACAGAGACTGGCAAAGAGACAAAGAGGAAGAGAAGGGGGATGATCACCTTCATTACTTCTTCACTTCACTTCTTTACATAGAGAAGCTCAAGCATCAATTAATCCTAGGAATATCTTAAATCCTAAAACATTCACATTGAACCATAATCTGGTTTATTGCATTCCTTCCCCTAATTTTATATATTAATAATCCTGTCTATTATAGAATTGTAAGGGAAGATATACATCTCTCCATAATGACATTGAAATAGCAGTGGTTTTCTTACGAAGACTCACGTGCTGCTTTGGGGGAGAAATTCTGAGCAGCTTGAGTGAGGTCTCTGGCTTTGTGCTGCAAAATTGTTATGTAAAACTAGCATTAGGCATGAACCAAGGAAAGGAGTAAGACCAAAGAATGTAGTCTAAACTAGAAGTGATGAAAATTTACTGGTTAGATTAGCTTTGAAGCATTATTCAAACTCAATCAAAACATTTTACATTTTCAGATCTCATACCACCACTAACATATAGCTATAACTTTGAAATAACTTCAGCTTGGAGGATATTTTTAATTTGTTCATCACCTGAAGAAAAGAATGTGGATATATAAATAATTATCTGTGAAAAGCATCACTCATAAAAATAAAGGGGAATAAATACAATTTCCATTACACTTCTTAATATTTGAAACTGAGAAAGTTTTAACATGCATTTAATTAAATACACAGAACCAGCAATTCATAATCCACCCTTGAATAGTTTATATTTGCTATGATAACACTAAATATATGGAAGAATTACTGTTTATTCTAATCCATCATGGCTCAAGAAGTTCTTTACTGGCCAAAGTCACATATAAATAGCCAAAAAGCAAGTTCAGTGGTCTCAGAGAACTTTTTAATCACCCGCCATCAGCTGCCATTGTCCTTCCTATGCTGGAAGTGTGACTAGAGCAATGACTTCTGCCCTGCTGAATCCAGTGACATCATTTTAGTTATCTCCATTAGCTCCTTTCATCTACATTAGAGGTGGCTTCTGTTCCCTCTTTTACATTTTCTTTGCCTCTTTCTTCGTATATTTGTCTGGCACTGTGTTCTTAGCTGTTCATGAGCGTCAATTCTTAGTCTTATTATTCTCTGAATAGGTTTCCATCAATGGCCACAAATATTTGGCCATGAATTTCCTCACAGAATTTAGGATCTTATTTCATTTTTTCTCATAAATCTTCTACTGTAACAGCTTTCACAAAGTTCAAGTGTTCATTACATCACATGTTCTGTTATTGCCCTTGTTTATTTTCTGTAATTGACACTTGCATATCTCTACTGCTGAACTGTGAGGTTTTGCAGAAACTCGGACATTCCATTTGGATTTGATCATCTGAAGCCTAGCATCTTACACAGTGTAGATGAACATAAGTATTTGATGAATGACAAGTATGCCTTTGATAATATTGCTTAAGAAATTTTGTCATAGCAAGTATAACATAAAGTCTTAGTTTTAAACAAGATCTCCTTTCAGTCCAGTGGCCTGGTATCAAGAATCCACCATGTACTTCTGGAGTTGTCTTTCATGTACTTTGGACAGGAGTTTGTTATTGGACTAGGGTTTCCAAAGAATCAGAGAGTGAAGGCAGATTCTGTGATATAGTTAGAACTTTTGTCTAGATATTTTGGTAGTAAACCAAAGTGAGATATAATTCTCAAGAGTGGCAACACAGGGGTGAGATTCATAGCTAATGCTTGAAGTCATACAAATGGGTTTACCTTCAGACTTCAATGGATTTGACATTCAGCAGTCCCTCTATTAAAGCAAGTAACAGAGATGGAGTGCTAACCACACTTTCATCTCACTTTTACTTTGAATTATTTAGTTAAACACATCTCTACACATATAGCTAATACCTCAGTGCTTTCTTAGGTCAAATTTAATCTTAAATCAAACCAGATAGCATACACTCACCTCCTTCTTTTCACTGACAGTAGTAAATACCTGTCTCCATGAGGTGAGGTGTCTTTCTTTCTCAGTGGTACATATCTCATGGAGGCTAATTGGTGGACAGGAAACATCCCTTGTAATCAGTTAGCTTCAAACAGGAGAAAGTAAAGGATATAGTTATCTTCCGAGGAGAGAGGGAGAGAGAGAGAGAGAAAGAGAGAGAGAGGAAGAGAGAGAGAGAGAGAGAGAGATCACTGCTTCTTACCTTTGCTCTGTTATTTCTATTATTCATGGTCCACAACAGATACACAAATCACACTTGTCTTTCTAAAAACATGAAATCATTAGCTGGCTATTATTAATCTAATTAATAATTACCCTTTTATCTCTACCTATATTATTCATAGTCACTATAATAGTCTCTGTAGTTACCCTGAGACAGGATAAAGCTATTATTCCTCTTGAATTAGAGAACACTGGGAGAAGATACTGAGAGAGTACACTGGACAGAAAATGAATTACAGATCAGAATCAAATAAAAGATAGATGCTGAGTGAACTTAACCTGAGAAGGTTACCAAGTTGATAGGTTTATAATAGTTTGGGGATGCTATGCAAATATCCCAAAAGCAAATATCCTAGTGATTGTGCTAGAAATTGTATGCAATTAAATGTGGAATTGAATCAGCCACTGCTTGCTCCAATGAATGTAAAGACCCATGCAGAGATTACTACTGGTAAAAGTGTGATGGCTTTTCATATTACAAAGTATTTCTACTTTTTGTATAAAGACCTTCGTTTGACATTGTCCCAGTCCAGTGCAGTTGCAAAAGGGAAACTAAGGGGCTCTCACTAACCATACAGAAGTTAGCATCAATCGAACATGACTTTATAGAGAACATTTTAATTTTCACATTTTGGGCCACAGGTCAGCTAGTGTGAAGAGTAGTAACTTTCTGAGGCTGATCTGTGTTAATCAGACCATTGACAGATCACAAGATTTTGTAACTGTGCTACAAAATGTGAGACTGATAGGCTCGTTTCAGCAGTATTTTATTGCTAGAGAAGGCAAACTGAAAATATCACCTGCCATGTCTTGTACTAATGAACTAAATGACTCAAGTGAATACAAAGGAGAATATAAAAGAGACTACATTTTCTAGGTATTGCCGTGTACGTAAAATAGCACCGGAGTTATGTGCTATGCATTTCTATTAAGCTGGCTGAGGTGGAGATATAGGTCATTGCTATGGAGAGTGTTGAGAATTACTATTAAGTGTATAAAAGGTTTCATATCATGACAGTGGTATCATTTATTCCAGCCTCTAACTACCTAAGGTGTGAGCCCAGAATCTTCTTTTTACTCAGAAGTCTCATATTCCTCACAGTTAGAAGGCCTCCTTTGGCATTCCTGGGCATGATGTAATGATACTGATTTCTGGTACCATCATAGAAGAGAATCTTGTAAAGTTGAGTGACAAATAACTTTACACAAATCTTACTGCTCTATTAAAGAATATAAATGCATTTAGGTGATGACAAAAAGAATGCATTTCTTTCTCATATTTGACTATTAATTTGTAGGTCCTGTGGATATTAATATTCAAGCCAAGTGTAACCCCTGTTTATCAAATCCATGTAAAAATGATGGCACCTGTAACAATGACCCGGTTGATTTTTATCGATGCACCTGTCCATATGGTTTCAAGGTAAGTAGAAATTATAGTTGGGAGACATCACTTCCCATTGTATATCTTCTTTCTACTACTCTTTCTCTGTGTTCTAAAATTTAGCTTGTTTTATTTGTACCTAACTTAACATGTGCATTTCTTCTCAAGGGGCAAGACTGTGATGTTCCCATCCACGCCTGTATCAGTAGCCCATGTAAACATGGAGGAACTTGTCATTTAAAAGAAGGAGAGAGTGATGGATTCTGGTTAGTAGCCTGGCAACAATCTCCTTTGTCTGAAGTACTGTAATAAAAGTAACTAAAGACATATGCACAATCCTTTTCAAATAAGAAGCCATTGTTTCAAGAAGAATGTTAGTGCACAGATCACATGTATTAACTTAGAAAATGTTCAAATTTTATAGTGCAAAAAGTAATTCTTACATTTATTTATAGTTGTAAACCATCAAGGACATTGCACATAGAATTACAGATGACACAATTTTAAAAAATAGATTCACACTTTTAATGCTAATCATGTGAATGTGTGGGGTTTGTGTGTGTGTGTGTGTGTGTGTGTGTGTGTGTGTGTGTGTGTGTGTGTGTGTGTGTGTATCTGAATGCAATTGCTAAACACAGGCAGAAGTGTCTGTTTTTCTCATAGTTGGAAATTGCCTATAAATGCCTGATGTGGGTGCTGGAAAAAAAAAAAAAAAACTTGAGTCATGTGGAGGAGCAATATGTGCTCCAAACCACTGAACACTGTATCTGTGAGTAATCAGATCAAGCAAAATCCCAGTATGAATGTGAAGAGGATCATAAAGTCCACCCATAGCTGAAGCACTATTGGCTATTGATGGCTGCTGGTAGATTGAGAGTCAGTTTCCTTCAAGGTTGTAGCCCTTGAAAGGCGACCCATGTTTTAGTACACAGCATTAAGTGAATTCTGTGGATTTTCAATGTAAGAGAAAGTACATAAAGTTGGACAGGAAACATGAGGGGATAAGAAAGGAGGAATTTAATAGGAGTCAAAGGGGATGCATTCAACAAAAACATATTGTACCCATGTATGAAATTCTCAAATGATAAAAATTAGTTAAAATATTAGGACCAGTTCTTTTTATTTCTAAACAATGAGCATGAGTTATGTCCAGTTTGGGAATAAGCATATCTAGGACAGTGGAGGAAATTTTGCTTGTCCTTTGGACTTGAAAATGTATTGGGATTTATTGACTTTTTAGATGATGGAGCCATTTGCCATTTTTCAGCACTCATAAGTTTCCTTTATAAATGTTTTTTGGTTTGTTATCTAGTCCTTTATAGTATATAATTTCATAGCCTTTTAAAAATCAATTTCATTTATTAAAAGCTTTGTAATTACTGTGTATATTTATGCCTTTTAAAAATATTTTGACCACAAGGTCTTAAAACACACCCAAAAAGTTTCTTGTCTTTCTCCCCTGATGCTTAGGTGTAGTTGTGCTGATGGGTTTGAAGGAGAAAACTGTGAAGTCAATATTGATGATTGTGAAGATAATGACTGTGAAAACAATTCTACATGTGTTGATGGAATTAACAACTACACATGCCTTTGCCCACCAGAATACACAGGTATGAAGAATAGGAAATGTTATGTCATCAATCAGTGTATCAATTTGAAAGCATCATCACACTACTATATTTATTTACCAAGCCCTTATTAGCCAATAACTGGGAAATTTAATTGCAATAATAGAAATACATAGAAAGCATTTCATCCCACCAAATAAAAGATGCAGCAAGCTCAATTCTATCCAAGTACCCACCTTATAAGATTATGATCTCTAGGAGGAAATAAAGAGGATGCCATCAATGCTGAAACTTTTGAACCCATGATTGAAGGACATTCCCATTCAAACCACTTTCCCTGTATGGGCTATTTTGCCCATATATATTTTTATGTATTTATTAACATAATTAAAGTATTATTCAGCATTTGAAGTTAATAATATTCATACTAGCCCTTCATTAGTGAAAATTTACCTCCAGTAAGCTCTGTCCTTCAGTAGGTTCTCCATCAGGAAAACGAGCTCTTTGAAAAATCTTAGGAGACTATCGCTTTCTCACCAACACTTAGTCTCTGGTTAATAAACCTGATAAATTTGCTAAACTTTATTCTCAATTTAGACCAATTTTCTATAAAGTCAGCACCAAATCTCTGCCTTGTCTATTTTTAAGGAATACCATTCTGTGTGTTTGTGTGGCTATGCATAAGAAATGCCATGATCAGCTGTATTGTTTCTAAATAATAAAAAAAAAAACAGAAGTAGACTCTGTCATTGTTTCAGGAGCTACCATTTTAATTTTACTTGGTGTTTTCATTTGTTGCATTTATTTTCATGTAATAGTTCAAAGTTAATAATTTCAAATAGTGAAATAATTATCTAGGTAGCTAAGATTAATATTTCTAAGCATCAAAGACAACAGTATCGTTTTAATTAACTTTCCTAGAGTTTAGAAGGAATAATCTTTGAAATTTCTTGCTATGGAAAATACAAAAATTTACATTATACTAAATATCTTTATTATGGGAAAATGCAACATAGTGTAATGAGGTTCAGTTTTAACAACTTAGATGTGCTTAGATGATTCTAAAGTTGCCCTTTCCATGGAGTCACACCAATAAAGCACTGAATGTAGACAGCTGAATAGTTATATAGATGATAGATAGATAGATAGATAGATAGATAGATAGATAGATAGATAGATACATGATGACAGCCAGATAGACCTAGATACATAGATAGGTAGATAAATGATAGATAAAAATAGAAAATTGGATACATACATACATACATACTTACATACATGTGAAGCTATAATACCAGGAGACAGAATTTGATCACTCTTTACTGTTTTGCATTAACAAAGTGTAGCAATTGTATTCCAGACAAACTTTACTTGTTACACAGGTTTGCCCCACCCATGTATATCACAGTATCATGTATCAGATATCTTCCATTAGCTGATGACCATAGATTTAAATCCGTTATACATAGCCTGAGCATCTGAAATCTATTTGATCGGCTATTTTTTTGTGTTTAGGAAGTTCTGTGTTAAACAAGAATCTGTTTCTTTGTCATAACTAGAATAAGGCTGCTTTATATCTCCATCATTGTTCAGCTCATAGCAAAGGCTTAGGAACCCACTTATTTTTGGAACTCCTATAAACCCACTCTATTTGATTTCACCAGAGAAATGGACTCCCAAGCTTTATGAGATTAGTAAAGCTCTCTATGTAGTACTGAGCACAGAAACCAGGAACTTATAAACATTTTCTTTCTGGTGTAACTGAGGCTTGAGATCACATGTGTACTAAGGTCCTTATATGTCTGTCTATGATGATTTGCATAAGATGTAAACACATGCAAGTTAGTTGGGAGCAGGTCCTGCTGCACTGGTGTTCAAATTCCTCATTCTTATTCTGATTCTCACCAATTTTTGAGTGTTTCTCTTACCTGACCTGCTTCAGTTCACAAGCGCTTGTGAGCCCTCCTAAAGAATTCATTTCTGTGTATCCTCCTCTGAGAAGTGTGATGCAATGTCCCCTCTCCAACTATGTCAGATTTCATTCTTTGCACTCTATCACAATAATTCAAAGCTTAGACAAACCAATTCTTTGCCAAAATGTAGCATTCATAGAAGCTGCTATGAAGGACCCCCACCATTTGGCTCTGAAAATGAACCTAGACAAAGACAGCATTGTTCCTTTTACTTGTAGCTATTACAAATATTGCTTTGCTTTAATTTGGACAAAGGTGCCGGGTGTTGGTGGCACATGTCTTTAATCCCAGCACTCGCGAGGCAGAGGCAGGTGAATCTCTTGTAAGTTCGAGACCAGCCTGGTCTACAAGAGCTAGTACCAGGACAGCCTCCAAAGCCACAAAGAAACCCTGTCTCGAAAAACCAAAAAATAAATAAATAAATAATTTGGACAAAGGGTCAAGACAAATATTGAACTGGTGACTGTGCATGACATAGAGCAGAGATCCTAGCTCTATTCCATTGGACTGAGTCCCTTGGGTCATGAAAGATTTGACAACTTGGCAAAAGAGAAGATATCTAAATGGGATGAACTTGTAACTCATCTCTTAACTGTGTAGTTTTGTGAACATCTGAAGTGAGTGCATTTACAAAATGTCAAACAACCATTTTCAGATTCTGAGATTGGTGGCATATAGGTGGCCTTTGTTTACAGTAAAGCATAAGTCAGAATCTTGAATTCTGTGTCCTATTTAACACATATCTGCAGTTATAGAGGGATTTCCTTATTATGTGACTTTATTGTTTTATATTTAAGATGGAATCTGATTAGTAAGTGTGAGTTATGTGAACAGAAACCCTTCTATACTCACAGAATATAATAATGTTGCCAATTGCCCCTCCTTTGAGTTTTTTTTCTCTTACCCTGTATCTCAAAGCCATACAGTGAAAAGATGAATTTTATTTAATAGCAGCAAATAAGGCTTCACCAGAAAAGCTTGTAAATCTCCGTGGCTGACAATGCTTGCATTTAACGTCTAGGTCAAAATGAACACTTGTCAGTGGAGAAAATCCAGAAACCTGGAAAGAATCTGACATGGAAATCAGGACATGACAGACAGCCTGTATAGAGGCAGAGTAACTAAACATCACAACATGTAGTTAATGAATTATTCCCTGCCCTCCCTTGCTAAAAGATTGATAACATAAACTGTATGGGTCAATAGTGTTTTTCTGTTATCTAAATTTCACTGGACCCTCCCCACTTTAAGAGTCACGTGTATTATTGTCTACATATTAGGCCCACTTTTCTACTCTCCTAGCCTAGCTGGAAGACACCTTAATGCTAGTATTATTCAGAAAAGTTTAATTTTTGAAAACATAGTTCCCTGTGATTCTATATTAAAATCAGTATGGGGAAAATAAGGATTTGGAGAGATTAAATTGTTTACCCATAATTCTGTATATTTAATTTAGCTTCATAGATTTGGGGACTTGATTTGTTTATTTTTTCCATAGTTATTACTGTATATGTTTCAAAAAAACGAAACATTTTTTTGTAGGACAGTTTGTAAGGCATTCTGAAGTTAGATTAACTCATAATGTATAAGCTGAAATTTCTGAATATGGTATGCCCACAGTATTGAAGTCCTGGAAAACTTTTCTTAGATAGTGTTAGATTTATAGCTGATTTGGGAAAAATAAAGTTTTGCAATAGTAAATATTGGGTTAAGGGATGTTTCCTATTGTCCTAATTCTCAATCTATTTTGTCAGCAATATGTGTCTTCAATAATCCTACTCTCACAGGGTCACATAGGTTCCATATTAACTGGGCATGTATATTCTCAGAGTCTGTCTTATGGAAAATACAAAGAACTTTTAACTTTTGAATTTTGTCTCTGGGTCCCTACACAAATGTTCACCTCACATCTACTACTGTAAAGCTGCAGGTGTTAATCACCTAATTTAGATGCCAATCTATAGCTCTCTGTGATGGCCTTTACTTTTGCCCTATTCTTCTCCATGTTTTTATGTTTGGCCAGCTGTAGGTAAGAAGTCTAAGCCTGGTTTCAGTTTGCTCTCCCACCCTAGCTTCTCTGTTGTTAATGCTGCGCCTTGGCTTCCTGTGTGCTACTGTTGCATTGCAATGTAAAATGTCTTTTGTCTCTTCTGTCTTTGTCGCTGCCAGCTGCTAATCTGAATGAGGTGGAAAAAGGTTAGTTGCTCTTTTTAAGTCTATTATGGTTTTCTCTTTAGTCTTCTCTGTCTTTTAAAGCTACTAGATTTTACTGGGTGTGCTGGGTAAAGATTGCTGACAAGAGGTGAAGTCAGAAAGCTATATATCAAATTGTTCCAAGAGATCCTTGATATATGTATAGCTGCATGAAACACTATAAAATGGTTCCTTGAAATGCACTTAATTCCTAGTTTTCTCACTTACCCTGAGTAGGAAAAATTGTCTAAAAATTAGATCTTATTTTCTATTTCCTACTTTTCTATATACTTTACACTTTTAAAGATATCATGAGAATATATTATTCATATAATTAAAACATAGGTCTTTAGCCCAGTATATATACTCTATGTAGTAAAAAAATTTAAAGTAATGAAGTCTTTCTCATAACTTTAAGTCCATAGTTTTACTATTATGTATGTTGAAAAATCTGAAAACGTATGTAGTAATTGAAACATTTTATACTATATGAATGGGGTTACATGTCAATAATAAGGGGCTTGCCTAGCATGTAAAAGACCCTGATTTCAAACCCAGCACTACAAAAAAGTAAGTGTAAAAATAAAAATAAATTATATATATATATGTACATATATTTGTATATATATGTTTCTAATACAGATGTAAATAATGTGGTGACAATATATATTTTCTATACACGTATATGCATAAACACTGAATTATAGATGAAATATCTTAACAAATCAATATTACAAAGCCCAAGAGACTGGTTTAATGATGAAACTGTCAAATTGATGTTATTGAATTGAGTAAGTTCTAAGTAGTTTTCTTAAGACATTAGAAAGTTTTGTGCATAGTCACCAACATCAGAGTAGTCACTGGTCTCCCAAACAC